AGGCGCGTGTCGTCGATTCGTCGATGAAGCACCTAGGAGACAATCGGATCGGGCCCTGTCAAAGTGCGGCCGATTGCAGTGCGACGCGTGGTGGAACCGCGAAGCTGCGATGCGGGCCAAAGACGTGAATTAAGTCGTCCAGCAGCCCTTCTATCCCCCTGATCCCATCCAACCCACTAATAGAGTCGTCGTCGTGTACTCTTTTACTTGTCAGGCCAAACTATCGCGGCGTTGACCCCACGCTCGGCCGGATAATCGACTGAAAATAACCCCAAGAGACACGGGACCCCCCTGGTTCCCCGAGCGCAGCCTCCCGAATACAAAGTCGGTGCATCTGTTCCGTTGTTCGTGAAAGGAACGAATGACTCCGACAATTAGAGAGCAGAAATCCCGGCGAAGCGGTTGCGAGCTTCTTCTTTTCTTGCTCACGCGATCGCGGAGATTGCGCCGCCTGCGATGGGGTGGAATCGGTCCAGATTAAATCGGTCGGAGGAACGATCGCGTCTCGTCTGGACGGAAATAATGCGCTAGGGAGCCGGTACTGGGTCCCGCCAACGAAAGAATTAGAATCTCCTTTGTACTCTTACATCGACATCGATAAATTGTCCTTTCGAGCGGGGACGGGACTGCTATCTATAATACAAACAGAGAAGTACAGGTTTCTCCTTTCTTTTTCTTTTTTTTTCGGATGATATCGAAGAAATTCCATTGATGCATGATAGGTCGCCCGAGAGTCGGATATTTGATTCGGTAGCGCCGTTGTGCCTGAGACACTTGTAATTAAAGGCGCCATTAAGTGGGCTTTGACGAGCGCGGAGAGTTAACCCTGGCACAATGGCCGGTGAACGTAAACAACGAGAACCCGGGCTTTGTCGTCTAATTCGCGAACGGTGGATAGGCAATGGCCGTGACAAAGGACACATTTAGCTAAATGCAACGCGCGAGCCCGTGTCCCGCATTGTTTTGATCTGGTTTGAGTGGGCACAATTAGATCACGCTGCCGGTGCTGCAGTTTCGACCCCCTATCGAGCCGGCGGCAGCCCGATTGGCTTCGTTGTAGGCCAAACGCGATACCGGGGCAGTTTTAGAGTGCACCGGTGCACCGTGGCGTGTCGCGAATCTCTTTTCATCGATCTGATGACCACCTCGTCCATTCGTGCGGTAAGTGGATAGAGTGGGCTCTGCCGGTGATGCCTTGTCGGACAGGCTGGCTACAGGAGGGGGTTCGTCCATTTAATACCCGCCGTTCTTTTCTATTTTTTCCTTTTTTACCTCGACTTTCTCTCTCTTTCTCTCTATTCTTTGTCCCTGTCGGATCCTATTCGCCGTTTCTTCACTGACCGCTAAACACGACGTTTCCTGAAAGAAAAGAAACTGGATAGTCGATCGGTCAAGATCAGCCCGAGAAATGTTCCACGTCGCAAGAAATATTCGGTCGATTCGAATATTAATTACCTGGATTACCAAAGTATAGACTTGCAAACTTGTCAACAGCCTCAAGGATAAATCGGACGTTTCTCGTGGGCCTGCGAATTTAAATTTATTTAAATCATTAAAAATAAAACACGGTTGTAGATAGACTTTCGAAGAACGGCATTCAGAATTGTAACTTTGAATACGACATTCGAAAAACAATTAACGGTGTAATCATATTACTCTCAATCGTTTGTCCCGACAACTGAATGTTTACTTTAATCCCTAACCTGTTTCACGGCCTCGCTGTATCGTGACGCCCACTATACGCTTTCTCGTCGCAACCGGCGGTAGATTTGCCTTCACCCAAATAAATAAATAAATGAAGAAATAAATACGTAGTCCATGGTCTTCGACATGGTCGATCCCTTTTCGACCGCTTCTCGATAGGGTAACCGTTTCGAGAGTCTCCAGCCGACCTCGGTCGGTGTAAGCATAACGAACCTAACCATAAACGTGGCGCCAGCGTGTCTCGTGTGGAACGGCGAGGAAACGTCTGAAAAGACGCAGCGCACCAGTGTCGAGCGAAGTAGCAAAGAAGGTGGAATTCGACGAGCAGCAGCAACGGGTAATCCGATTAGCCGATCACCTCCGAATACGCCTCGTAGCCCCGTAGTCCGTAACCGGAAAGCCAGTGTGAAAGTGCTAAACGAGCAATAAGAAAGTAATGGCAGAGTGCTCAAAGCAAGAAGCCAGCCCCTTCGGAAGCAACATGGGCGGGCTCTGCCGCGAATCACCGAGCTGGAGAGGGGTAGAAGAGCGCACCACCGCGGTAGCGGGCGCAATTACGGATTTTGAGTGACAGATGCTCGCCCAGTCGGCAGTCGGAAGATTAAAACAAGTAATCAAAGCCCCAGTAGCCACCCCGGGATGGATATGGATGGATGCATTCCCCTGCCTCCACCGGGTACAACCCCTCTGCTCTCTTTCTCTCTATCTGCCTCTCTCTATCTCTCATACACACACACTCTCCTTCTCTCACTCTTGCTCTTTCTCTCTGTGTCTCCTCGTTTTCGTGGCAGCGCCACGTTTTCCCTCCTCCATGCCTTCCCTCTTCCTCACCAACCGAACCTAGGCAGCGAGGGTAACCCCCAGCTACTATAATATCCACCTATCAAGCCGCGCTCTGAATGCTCCTTTAAGAAAATGTTCCTTTTTCGCGAGCAGTCCTCCTCAGCTGAGGGGTTATTAGACGGCTCTCTCCCGGCACAGAAAAAACGAGTGGCTGTGGAGGAGCAAGGGGAAGGACGCACAAACGACGAACGAGTTCTATTTCACGAGAAACGATAGAGAATGCTCTTTGACGCGCACATTCACTCACTTCGATCGTTCGACTAACAATAACCAAGCAGTTCGCTAGTCGACTAGCTTTCCCTCCTTTTTACTTCTTCGTCCACGCGCTCGCGACTAACGCGACAACTAATTGCGGCGGAGACGAAACTAACTATATTAAGCAATTTGCCGCTTATTGTTGCCCACGTGACGCAATGACGCTCAGGGCATTTTCAAGGCGTTTCGCGTGCTGTAAAATCTTTGACACTGGTAGATTGGCGTAACTACGAATGGATCTTATAGCGTCGAAACATTACATTCACGAGTATTTACTTTTCGAATTGCATAATGATTCGTACTATCGTAATATCGTCGTGATACTTTCCCCAGCACGAGAAGCCAAATTTTGTTTGGTTAGATTTCATTTCAGAATCGATAGATTGAATTCGTGATTGTGACGTAACATTGAAGGATAAATTTTGACAAATATTTATATTGAAAAATAAATAAAGATAAATGTTAAGATCGATTAAACGCTGATTATGGACAACAAGAGAAGCAATTAGAACGAGAAGCCATATTGAGTCGCATCCTCAACAATTGCGGGGGCGAAACAAACCAGCGTTGATAGGCGACTAGGAAGTCGATTAGAGGAAAATCCGCGTTCGTCTGGCGACGACATAATCCACGTTCAGTCTTAATCGGGCAGACATCGCGACAGAATCGGCGAGCATCAAACGGAGAGAAAGTAGAAAAAGAATAAAGGAAAAAAGGGAAAAGAATAAAAGCGAAGGGAAGGGAACGAAACGTAATTCAATTTCGCAAACTTTCCAAAGGATGAACGCGAGAATCGGCGAAAAAATCTATCTCGCTATTGTGACAGCGATTCAATCTGTAAGTTCCTTTCTGGTACTTTCAGGCATACCGCGATTTCAGCTGGTTATTCAGCATTTGCCGGATTCCATTTTCCACTTCCACGCTGCCGTCTTTGTTATACAAAAAAATATTACAACATGAAACAGATTATAACGACGATACACATGAACGCGGGAAAACAAAATTGGCTTGGTATTCGATGTTTTGAGTGACCGAAATGTGTGTTGCGTTTTCAAATACGAATCAGAGATCTTTTTTTCTGTTTAAAGTAAAAAGGAGAAAAAGAAGAACATAAACGACTGTTTCAAACTTGTACTCGGTAAACGATAAATACGCCATATTTACTTATATATGTATATTCGATTAATGTGATAGATATCCACTATCGATATGCAACGTCTCGACATCATCGAGTTAATTCATGACATCTCAGTGACACAGAAAAACGGAATATGTTTAATCTTGAGATTTCGTCACGCAAAGGACAGGATTGGATTTTGTAGGGCGAGAAAGGATGAGCCGGTTTATCTCCGGCGTCGCTTTTCAGTTTTTCCCTGTTTCTCGGTCTATCTTATACGCCCAGCCTCCAACCCTCTTCTCTAGTTACTTTATCCCTTCCTTTTAGGGGCGTTACCGACGTCGGTATCTTCTTTGAGAAATAATAAGCTCTTTCTTATAAATTCATCGCAAATGCAGTCTCACCACCAATTCCAGGATCGGGAATTTTCTTTGTGTGTAAATAAAATTTTTTGTATTAGTAGATGTTAAGTTATATGTAATTATTCCGCAATTGCTTAAATCGCGATAATCAAAGTATGATTTGAGAAGTATTTTTGTTGAGATAAAGAAAAGCAGCGAAGGTAAGCCGAAAGGATCTTTTAAAGATTTGACCCGTAACTATTACTTCCATCGTCACAAAGAATCGAATTAACCAGCGCAAGATTACTGATCCCCTCCTATACCAGCACTTCGGAATCGACCCTTGAATCCTCTGTATCACACGCGTATGTCGTGAACGTTCACACACCTTTTTCTTCCCCTCTTACTTTCAACTCGAACACCGCAAACCCCTATGTTATGTCCTTAGCTTTTGACTGAAAGGACTAAGCATACACTTGATCTCTTTGATAAAGTTTCATCTACGAGTGATTTGATTAAGTAAACACACAGACTATCACTCATATTTTTCAATCTATATTCGGAAAAAAAAAATTACTATAAAAAATAAATTATTTGGAAATTATTATTTCTACTTAAATTAAAAAACATTATGTATTTGTAATATATGAAGGTATATATTCATATTTTATTTATATTACTTTCATTATTACAGATGGAATATACTTCATATGCTTATAAAGAGTACTTATTTCCAATGCTTAGTTGACTGATTCAAAGTACTGTTTGCTATCCTTTGGATTTGGTTTAATAGTTTTAGAATCTGGCTGCCAATTAGCTGGACAAACTTCGCCATGTTTTTCAACAAACTGAAATGCCTTGAGGAGCCTTAAAGTTTCCTCTACGCTTCTTCCGACTGGTAGATCATTCACGCTGAAGTGTCTCAGTATTCCTTCTCTATCTATGATAAAAAGTCCTCGTAAGGCAATTCCAGAATCTTGGAGAAGAACATCGTATTTAGCAGATATTTCCTTGGTAAAGTCACTAAGAAGAGGGTAACCCAAATTGCCACCTAGTCCACCCTGTTTTCTAGGTGTATTAATCCATGCTAAATGGCTAAAATGAGAATCTGTAGAAACTCCGATCACTTGTGTATCTAAAGCTTGGAATTCTGAAATTCTCTCACTGAATGCTATTAACTCGGTAGGACAGACAAATGTGCTACAAATAAAAACTTAAATTTATCATATAAAAATATTTGGTTTTCTTGATTTTAATATTGACAACTTACAAGTCCAAAGGATAAAAGAAAAGGACAACATATTTTTGCCTGTAATCACTTAAATTAATTTCCTTGAAATCACCATTAATTACAGCAGTTCCAGAAAATTCTGGTGCAGGCTTTTGAACCTGAAGTTGACACGAAAGAAATTTATTACTAACACAAAGGTTACGAGCGTGTTTTACTAATATCGAGTGTTTTGATTTCATCAAAGTTGATGTTGCAACATATACCTGTAATTGTTTATATCATGTACAAGCCATTAAACAATTTATGTATATTACATACGTATTACAAAATCTCAAACAATTTAAATAATTGATAGTTTCGTTAGATTAAACAACTTACCGCTTTGCAAGTCTGAGGATATAAAGATGCTAACGATCGAAGCATTATTAATATATGGATTATTAATTATGACGATAAAGAATTATTCAAATTTTTTAATTACAGTAAAATGCAAATTTTCTTCATGGAACAATAAATATAAAATGTAAAACTTGTATGTTTTACAAAGATTTATCTTCAAGTTTTTAAAGAGGTTATATAACTCACTTTTCTTGCAAACAACGTACGTTAATAAAAGATAATTCGATAGGTTACTAAATTTATTAAATTTATTTCACTCACGTTTATATTTATTCAAAACTAAATTGTTATTAAAGAAGTAACTTTTGTTTAAACTTTTATGAAATATTCTCTTCGGAAATCGTAGTTCCTTCTAGTAAGATCGTTAGAGGGCGACAACTGCTGAAGTAAAATTAAGAATTGATCTTTACATTACATTCTAATGTACGAACTTCAAAATCTTACATTAATGTCATGTAATATATTTTATTAATTACTAGGATATAATTGTTTAAATAAATAAAAAATTAATCAATATAACCGTATTTTATTCAAATAACAATATTATAGGTTTTATGTTCGTTCTTATCCAGTGGGGAAACATATATTTTATATATATTCATATTTATATATAAATTCAAATTATGAACGATTATCGCAGTATTTAAATTAATAATTTCCGATTTCTCCTACAATGGAAAATATCACTATCCATCGATAAATAGTATTTATCTGTTTAATTAACAAATGATTCGATTTTGTTCATTGTTCATTCATTGTCGGTGAAATCAGATATGCGATAGAAATAAAATCTTTTACTTTTGATATTTGAAATTTGTTGAAGATGACATTCAAACTGACGATTTACTTACAATAAAATTATACGATCATTATTTAATCATTCTCCCATTTTGATAAATGGAAATGGAGTATCTCGATTATTACATGTATTTCTCAAAGTAACACAAGCTTTCCTCATGTGATTTTAACATTTACATCGTACTTTGAAGCTTTACTACTAAAATATGATACACAATACAGAACACCGAGGCCACGTCATTCCTTTTGCACTCAGATTCTTTTGCTATCTATAGAGCAGTTTTTTTTTTAAAAACCGTCATTCAAATAACGACAGAGTTATTGACCTATATAATTTGGATTCAACAAAGATCTCTCTTTTCTTTTTTTAATTGGAAGCCGTTGCCGTTGCCGTTGCCGTTGCATTAGGTGCAGGGGTTGTAGTAGACGTTGATTCCTCTGTAACGATTCGTCGGTTTTTCTTTATCCTCTTCCATTCCCCATTTGTGTAATTCATTTGAAAATGTGTTTCAACTAACATAGATACCGTTGATCCATCTGGCTGAGTCACTTCTTCTATGTTTTCTGACAACATTACTGTGACTATATTGCCTAATTTTGGGCAAGGATTATCTAAATACAAGATACAACTTTATAGATAAATCTATTTTACATTGAAAGATATTTGAGTATTTTAAACTCAAATAAATACCTCTTGAACCAGCCATGAAACCTAAAATAAGCGCTTTCTCTGGTCGAGTTACTTTATTAGCTGTTCTAAACATTTCTTGTGCTTCCAACATTTGTTCTCGCTATAAATACACAAAATATTGTCTTACAGTTGATTTTTCTCTATATTATAAATATTTTTACATACCGTAAGAGACAAGCCCTTTCTTGTATTTGCAGCTGCATTAGCAGGTTGTGCAGTAGTTTGTATACGAATTTGTGTGACTGTCTGAGCTGGTCTGACTGTTTGAACTCCAACAGGTGTACTTTCCACTGGTGTAATAACCGTTGGTATCGCAACAGGTATAACTGTACTTGGAGTTGTAGATGTACTTGGTGTTGTAGCTATAAAGGAAAAAATTAATTACTTCTTATTCACAAAGTATAACTATAAAAACATACGAGTTTGTGGTGTCGTCACTGCCGAAGCTCCACTTGGTGTAGTAGGTGTTGTATAAGACTGTACAGATGCCACAGGAGTGATTGGAGTAGCAGGAGGATTGATTGAAGTTAATCCCTGAGCATACTCCGGTGTTGTTGAAGTTTCCGTTGTAGTTGTAGCAGTTGATGCTGCAGCAGCTGCAACTGCTTGAGCTTCTGCAACTTTCTTCTGCTGTTCTTCTAATTCCATCATCCTCTTTCGTTTCTTTGCTTGAGCATAGCCAAGTGGTTGTTCATTTATATCTAGTAACTTAATACCACCATCTTTGCGTATTCTATTACTAATAGGTGTTCTATTAGACATTGAAGAACTTGTAAGTGAGGGAGAACGAAAACCACTTGTGGGGACTCTACTAGGAATGCCTTTCAAAGGTGCTGAAAATAATATTATTTTATATTTTTATATTCTTTTTATTTTTCTGAAATGGTACTAAATAAAACTAAGTGTATAAACATACTTGTGTCAGTCATTTTTCTGGGCATTGCTCTACTCCTCACAGGTACTGTAGGAGCAGTACTTTTTTTTAAATTACTTGCTGCATCTGTACTTTTTTGAAGCAATTCTGCTCTTAATGCAGCACTTTTTGGTTTCCTTTTTAGAGTAAAATGCTTAACTGGTGCAGGTTGTTGGCCAACCACAGAAGTAAGTGCAGTCTTGTTAAGGTAATGACATTCTAATGGAAGCATAGCTGGATCATTTTGCTTTTTCAACAGTTTTCGAAGATCATTGACTAACTCTCCAAAAATAGGCCTATGCTCATCTAAATCTGTGATATCTGTATTCAAAGAACCTGTTGATGGAAATGTCTTCATCGCTTCGGATAACATTGATACCCATAATTCACTGTCCAGTGATGCCACTTCAATGATTTCTTCCAATTCAACACGCCACTGTACAATATAATGAAATTATAAATTATAAATATATATATTATAAAATATATATAAGACATAAATTAAAAATTAAAAATATATTACATATTTTTTTTAAAACAAAAGTAATTAAAATTCGTAAATATTAATTACACTTAACTTTATAGACAATACTAATCATATATAGAACGTGACTAGTTACTAAGCGTCTCAAAAACATTCAATATCTAAATGAAAATAAATAAACAGCAACATTATGGTGTACGTATAATTATTATTAAACATTCAACGCAATGGAGTTGTCGTTACAAATTTTTCTATGTATATTTTTATAAAAAATTTCTTCACCTGTTCGCACATTAAACATTTATAACAAACAAACTGTCTTACCTCCTCGACATTCCTTCTCGGTATGTGGAAAAATGAAAGAAGTAATTTAAGTTTAACTTGCGTTTGAAGATCTGGAAAACAGTCTTTAATATTTCGTAATACTTCTGCGTTGAGTTGTGAACAAATTGAACTTCCAGTCCAGCTATCATTTGACGTTCCAAGCTTGTTATGTAGCCACAACGACGTATCACTGTCCCTCACATTCGCCATATTGGAGTCGTTTATTTCCTACATTTGACGTACATTACCGTGGTGCGCCACATGTTATTCCCGCCATAAAATAACGTGACACATATTCATGTACTATGCAAGATATAGATATCTATTTAACTACGAAAAAATACTTCGTTTAAAAAAATCCCTTTTACGAACCATTTGAAATAATTTTATGTGTAATTCTTTGTTTTTTCAATTTTCCACAACTATATATTGTTCCATTTATTACAGCTAAGTATTCCATTATTCCATTATCGCATGGAAAATCACATTGAAAACAATTTCAAAGCTACAGCGAATTGAAAATCACCCATTATTTTAACAAAGGATTTTCCCGCGTGTAAAAATGGTGTTTTTTTAATGTAACATAATTTGAGTTTGATGTTGATTTATTGTGAGAAAGCTCGTAAACAGCTTATGGGATATGACTACTACGAATGGATTTTCAGACTCACAAGAGTCTGATATATTAGGTGAAGAAGAATACAAAGTGCTCGTGAAAGATATGTAGGAAATGCAACTTTATTATAATATTTTTGAACATTTAAATATTTTAGTTTCCTTTGTATTAAATATGTTAATTATAAATCGTATCGTTTGATTTAGTGGCTTCGTACCTTCATTCTGGATACAAAGTATAACAGAAGATAAAATGGAAGAAAAATATGATTTAACCCAACAATATATAGAAGAAGAGAAACCAATGAAAGATGAAGAAGAAGAACAAGAAGAACAAGAAGAACAAGAAGATGAATATTTTCAAGAACTTGATCCAGCCATTCCTGTAAAAGAAGAGTTTCCTGGTCATTATAATTTTCAAGTTTCATTGGGTAATCAAGATTCCAGTAAACATTGGACAGTAAGTGTATAATTGAATTATTACAGATATGCAATGACATTAATTTGTAATTTGGTTCTATTCATTTTATACAGTATTCTCAAATATTAAAAAAAGTATTTATTAATATGGAAGAAACACTGCCACTACGTTTTAAATGGGAACCACCTGAAGATGGTTTTCTTTTGCGTACTGCCATGGTTTTTAGTTTAGATCAGTATGCTAGTGATCCAGTTAAAAGATGTCATAATCACATGGCAACAAATAATCCAAGTAATAGAGATGTAGATCCTAGAATAATCAAACATGTTGTTCGTTGTACACATCATCTTACTGTTTATGAAGAAAGAAATGAACATTTATCTATAGTAACACGTCTTAATAGACCACAACCTGGATCACAATATGTACCAGTGTGTTTTAAATTTTTATGTAAGAATAGTTGCCCATCTGGTATGAATCGCAGACCAACAGAATTAATTTTTACTTTGGAAGATCGTAACAGGAGAATTTTGGGTCGACGGAGACTTCCTGTTAGAGTTTGTAGCTGTCCCAAAAGAGATAAAAAAAAAGAAGAAGCTGAAATAGTAGATACACAACCTGAGATAAAAAAGAGAAAGCTTTGTATACCAGTTGCGAAGAAAATGATGCCTTCATGTGATACACATGTATTTAATGTTCAATTAAATATTGTTGGAAAAGAAAACTATTTGGCTGTATTAAAGTATGCATATGATATAATGGCAGGTCAAGCAACAAGAACTGGACAGTTTGAATTTTTTAAACCATATATGGATGATATATTACGTAAAACCCCATAATACATACATCAATTTTGTCTTTCATGTACATGCTTTAAAAAGCAAAGAATCCATTTATTTTAATGTTATATATTTGTATATCTTACAAATTTAATAATGCCTATTTTAATAATTACATTTTATGCAATGTTGTTCTTAACATTTTATAATGCATATTATGTACTACTTACATAACTATCTTTATGTTAACATTGTGATATATAAGTTTTTTATACTAAAATATAATGCACTTGTTAATTTTTAATATAATGATAATAAACAAAACTAATACTTTTTTATATATGATATATATTTTATATTTCTAACTGTTCATGTGAGTGACATTCTATTAGTTGAATGTCCAATGTGTGCAATAACAAAGCATTTGGCAGGGGTGCAATATGTTGTGATGATAACATCATGGGATTTAGAAGACTTGCAACAATTCTACGCATTTTTATTTCAGTACCATTTTGCCCCTGACCATATAAAGTCCATTCCCATTTCATTTTTCCTCCTGCAGTACTAGTGATCCAAACAATTTCGTCTAAATACTACATATTCATAATTTAGAATATATTTTATACACAAAATAAATAATTTTACGAAACTTGAAAAATATACCTGAAAGAAAAATAAATCTTCACCACAGTGCAATATGTAAGCAGCTTCTGAACCAAATGGAAGAGGTATTGGAAGTTTTGCACAAACAGAATGAAAATGAATTTGTGGTACTTCATGAGTTCCATTTAAATGTTCTAATACTGCTTCAGTTGTAATAATATATTTACATCCACTTTGCTTTGAAAGGGGACACATTATCTGAGTATAGGACACAGAATCCATAGAACCTCCCCAAACTGATGTGGTTGATACATTGGACATTAAACTATTAGTACTTGACATTGTTGTACTTGTATTAATTTGTAAATAATTATTAACGACATCTTTCATCGTTTCTTTTGATAATTCTCCAGTACTTGCTGATTTCGTTCGATCATACAAATGTAAACATTCATCGAGATTTAAACTCGTGGGTGTAATATTTATGTTTGATTTTTCTTTGGAATTTACTGTTAAGTTATCTGCTGAAGCAGCTTTTTCCAATCCACCACGAAATAATTTAGTTAATAATTGACGCGTTTTCGGATATGTACAATTATTTTTTTCTTTCATTTGCATTAATTCTTTTTTTTTGCTTTCACCAAAAAGCCGATCTCGAAGATTTCGCGTGTGACATTCATTATTATTGCATAAATTTTGTTTTATATTGAAAGTATCGCGAAATATTTTATGAAGTTTATCCGCGAGCAAGCATCTTCCTTGACCTAGTCTGACTCTGCAAATCGGACAACGAGATGTCCTTAATCTACATCCAACACAGATGATATGACCGTGAACACATTGAGAGACTGGAGGTAATGAACATTCCAGACACACTGGGCATTCTAAAACTCGTATCTATATAAACATAGTAATTACTTTTATAAAATATAACATATTTAAAAACATTCAATCAATAGCTTTTATTTAAAAAAAAGAATTTTCGATAGTACATAACTTACCACCCCAGCTACTGCATTTGCAAGCTTGCTGGCCACGTCCGGTAGTGGTCCTTTCACAGCTATACCCATTTCTTTCTCTTTTTCACCTTCAACATATCTCCAAATAGACAATTTTAAATTACGTTCTTGACAATGTTGAATTAATGTCGCTATTTGCTTTATTTTTAGTCCTATTAAGTCCTTTCCATCAATATTAATTAAACAATCGCCAGCTCTAAAATGTCAAAATAACTTTTGTAAATTTTACACTACGTTACATTAGTACCTATTTTATCACTTTATTTTTACCTAAGTCCTGCTATATCGGCAAGACTGCCGGCTTCAACATGGCTTATCCATGGATAAGGATCCCATTTTGATCTTGTCAGATGAAACCCACAATATTTACCAAGTGCTTTAGCTTTTTTTATATTTTCCAATATTACACAAATTTTTCCTGTAAATGTCGTATTAATTGCTGCACTATCTTTTGTCATATAAATCTTAACACCTGCAGCTTCGGTTAAAAGTTTTGAAGTAGACGGAATAGACATAATTTTTTTCGGAATTAATGTTTTCCGAAAATTTTAATTCAATTTCAATTAATGTTTTCAATGATTATTGGATTTAAAACACAAAATAGCTTCTTTAAAGATAAAATAAGGATTTGCTTTTAGAATTTTATACATGCCGATTTGTTATTATAATTATCCTATCAATTACGTTAAGTTAAATTTTTATGTTAGACGTGCAAGTGTTATGATCTATACGAGGACCACGCGGTAATGAAACTGATCGGGTCCGTTCTCTAAGCAAGGTAAAATACTTACTAGTTCACCTTCACCTAATTTCGTGTCCTTGACATTTACTCTCCAGACAAATTGTAATTTTTGTTCTTTTCTTTAATTTCGACAGTATAATATAAATGAACATATATTGAAGGAATACTGCCTTTTAATTAATCATATAAATATATTTTTCATTGAAACACTTAAATTTTAATATCAAATGCCTTAATAGCAATGATTAATGAGTACATATAAGAGTATTTTTCTTTATTAATATGTCTACATACAGTAATCACAAAACTTGTCAAATTCTAACATAATCAAATTCATGTCTATGTATGTGTACACAGTAGATAAATATTTTGTTGCAAATCATTTTTTTCGTGTAAAGATATGAAATAATCTCCAACATAGTAAGGTCTTATATTTAAAAGTCTTACAAACATGGCAATTATGTTTTCTTTTCTACTATCTAATAAGAAGGCAAACTCTCCCATACAACTAACTTGGAAGATCATACAGCTGGATTGTCAGTAATAAATTTAAAATACATTTTATACAAATTAATTGAAATGCATTTGATACGTTTTGATCATGATCAATAAAAAACTTCTATGTCCCCAATCAATGATAATAAAGTTCCTAATAAATTACTGATATAATATATTAAGACATTGATTCAATGTGTGTAAAGTAGTATGTGCTGTTGCTTTAAGTAATAACAAATCACGATCTAAGTTTAAATCTGAGTTCTCAATAGTTTGTGCTAATGCAAGATTGTGCTTTTCTACTTTGCTTAATTGCTCTTGACAATTAGCAAATGCGTCTAAAACTTCCAGCTTGGCAACTGGATTTCTATTAGAATTGGCAGAATGTTCTCTTGGCGGTAAAGGAGGATGACTACTAGCTATTGCTCTAGTATACATTTCTGTCACAGCACGCAGTTTGTCAACCCATTCTTGTCGAGCTCGGGCATCCGTGGCTCTTAACTTTATCATATCACCTACATTAATGCATATATACTATCATAAATATTATTCTTTACTATATTACACTGCGTTATACAAGTTCATAAACCATGATATAGTGTTATATGAAAAATTTTAAATACCTGTAGCAGAATTGACAGTAAAAGTATTAGAATCTTCATCACTTGGAGCAATCACTGCACCGGCTAAATATATCGAGCATCGTGGTCGTTGATTTTTTTCGGATTCACTAAGAAAATAATGTAATTCACCAGTCTCTGGTCTAAGTATAAACCAACGATATTGCCACCCTTTCATAGCATTAGTATACTTATGTAATAAACCCTCGTAAGGGTGCCTTATTTGAACGTTCATCATTTATTATTCCTATTGTTTGGAAGCCTCGTATTATTTAAAACGGATAGTTGCTTACAGCGATCTGTCATCTGAATAGGCACATCAAGGAAGGTTAGTCAGATGATTGTAAGAGAGGTTAGGAAGATAAATAATCAAAACATCAGTGATAATATTTAATTAAATAACTTGTTAAATCCATTAAGAGTGGATTATATTAAAACTATAAAAAATATATAATTTCGATTAACAAAAAAAGATGACATCGTTACCAAGTTTGCATTTTGCTATAATAATTATACAGAGGAAAACTTTTATTTTTGTTCATATTTATTATAATAATTGGATATATTGCAATCTTATATAATAATCTTAAGTATTAAATGATAGGAAGTTTAATAATAATTAAATGAGGAATGGCATTTAGAAATACATATATATCTCTTTTCCATAACGAATTATGTGTCCAAGTTAAGCATTTTTTCAAGTTGATATCAAACCCTCTTCAATTAGTTGGGCTCGAATTAATGGTAGTTCTACATTGTACATTTCAGAATCATTTCCAACAATTTTTATTTTAACATGTATATCAGAAACAACTAATTCTGAGAGTCTTTTTTCTATTTCAGGAGAATATTGTCCACTGCTATTAATAGGTGCAACATCTACAAAATCAGATTAAAATTTATAATAATTACAGTACTTATATCAAAATATATCTGATAATAAATAATATACATACTGATAATGTTACAAATGCTTGCAACTGCATGGGGAGACATAAAATCTTTTGGCATAAGTCGTATATTTTTATGTTCAACAAACTCAGTGTTTCCATAGTCAACAAAGAAAACAGCACTTATTGTAGACTTATAGTTATACTGCACACACACAGCACGATACCATCCTTCTTTATAAAAGGCAAGGCATAGTTCATTATCACGTGGAATATAGTAATTATTTGCTTCACAATATTCAGTCATCTTCACAAATGTTAACATAGTATTTAATATACGTATAAATGTATACACATGTGCGCGCGCATCATAATAAAAATTACCTGTTTTGACATTATATCATAAACATGAGTTATCAAATCATAATCTATAGGACACATTGCATATGTGCGACCATTATCAATGACATGCAGTACAATCGCGTCAATAGTATCACCAACATTTCCTAAATCAACAGTATTTAAATCATTCACCATGTAACATGTTTTACCTATAAAAAAAATTAACATTAATTCAAATGATATTATTTAATAAAAATATTTATTATACAATTTTTTTAATAATTACTTTTTTCTGCAATTTCTTTTGATGTTGGAACAAGTAAATCACTTATCACTTTATTAACGCTTTCTCCATTATGAAGTTTGAGATATACACCATCTTCACAAGGTGAACCATCAAATGTACATAGTAAAGGAGTATCACATCCTACTAACATACTAAGATAAATGCTTACTTCCTCTGTCATAGGTACATCTTTTGGAACATCTTTTAGAATAACTTTTGTTATACAACAACGAAGCTGTTAAATTATTTGATATAACTATCTTTCAACTATATTATATTATTAGGTATATTTTAAATGATAACATACCTGTTTTAAATTATCAGATAAAATTTTAAGTTTTTTTATATCTGTAACTTCTATATTACCAAAATCAATGTATGAAACAGTAATCTTGTCATCTTGTACTTGAGTAACAATAGCGCGATAATAATTTTTATCAGTGTACTGAGCTATCACCATTTCCCCGATAACTGGTGGTTCTTTTAAAAATGAAGCTGTTATAAACAGATAATATGTTATTTTGTACAAATTTTTATCGAATATTACTTTAATTCTTAGGGTATTTAATAATTTAATTATTAAATATCGTACATACATGTTTGAGCGCATTTTGCAACATTTTGCAAGATATAATTATAATATTCTACTTCTGCAGTATCCGAAGAACGAACAAACAAACGAGTGTGATTTTGATAAGAAGTAATATATACCTAAAAGAATAAATAAAGAATTTACATTTTGCCTATTATTCACATAAATATTTTATATTTAGATTAAAAGTAAATGATAAAGTAAGTATTATATTTTTTAATCAAAATGACATTTTATACCTCAGATCCAGTTTTCAATGATGCCAGTTCTAATCCTTTTTGTTCGGGCATTGGATTCCAAGGCTTTACAGTAGCATGTATCTTATTTTTTTGCTGAGAAATTTCTATAATTTTATTTTGTTCATTAGTATGTGATCTCGATAATACTTTAAATTCATACTGATCACCTTCCTATAAATTATAATTTCAAAATTAGGAATAAGTATGTGTATTTTATAATATATTCAATTAGTTTAAAAAGCTCACATTAAATTTAATGTTAGAAGATGTTACTTCACATACTGCACCAAATGCACAAATGTTACAAAATATTTCAGGACATGTTACAGTTTTATTAATTGGTGCTACTCTAGCTGTATCTATTACAGCCATTTTTAAAGATGGTTTCAGAGATAAAATATATCCCCTGTGCCAACCTCCATCAAGTTCTCGACCACATACAAAATCTCCTACATCTGGTCTAAGAATTAAATATAATTCTGTAAATTATATATTAAAACTATAATTTATCAAAACAATTATATTATTAATGCTTACCTATGATTTGAACATTCTGCTACTTGAGCACATATTTTAGGTAAAGTGGTTAGTAATATTTTATAATCGGATACTTTACTATTAGGTTGTAATGTAACACTATAAGTATTATTCTTTATTTCTGCATGAATTTCTAAAACACCTATTTCTCCATTAGAAATGTCATTTACTATACTACGTTTGTCAGAAGAACTAACTGCTTCATCTTTAATAGATGTTTCTGAAGAAATTGGAGATTTATTATCAATTTTTAAATTGCTTGGAATATTCTGTATTGGTTTACCATTTGTCTGAATTGTTTCTGGCATTGATATATTATCTTCATTTTGAACTTCAACATTAATTACTTTATTGGAATCAATTGATATCATTTTTACACTTATTACATCTTCATATTTGATATTTTTATATTTTTCATACGCTTGTTGTGATAATCGAATTTTAGCACAAAATTTTGGAATATATTTATATTTATCAATTTCACGAAAATCATTTATTTGAATAATATCATCATTACCATAATCTATATAATGTACTTTCATAGGATTTAAACATACAGGTATAGCTCTATGCCACACATTTTCATACTGTAAAGCATAAATATTTCCAATTATTGGTTCAACTTTCTGTGCTTTTGCTGCTTCAAGTTGTAATTTATTCATTAATTGTGCAATATCATCCAGGTCTTTTACCTTTTGAACCCAAAATTCACGATTTTCTTTTACAATTATCATTACATCTGTAAATTTTGTTTCTGATAAAAATGTTTGGTTTGAAAAAGATATATCGTTTTCTATTTGTTCTACATTGATATTAAATTTTTTATGATTTTTAACATTTTCTTGGCTATTTATTTCTTCTGGATTTTGAGTATCTTTGTTGGAAGTTTCTTTTTTGGCTAAGCCTTTAAGTGAAAAAATATGATCTTTTTCAAAATTTATTTCCATATCTATGTCATTTTTCTTATATATATTTTGTTGATTAATATTTTTAGTAGCTAAGCATTTCAAATCATTATCATGTGTTACATTACTCATATTTTTATTTTTTGTAGGAGAATCCAAAACTTCATTTGAACTCATTATATCCTGAATTAATTTTTTTGGTCGTCTGAGAGGTATTTGAATATCAGGAACATTTCTGGTAAATGATTTATTTGTTTTTGATTCAGGCATGGAGCACATAACCGTTACTAAACCTCTAAAAGTAAAATACAAAAATTAAAATCTTAAAAAGTATATACTTCTACAAATTTTCTAACTATTGATATATTAAACTATGAAATAACACATACGGCATATCTTTACATTCAACCTTATGTTGTGGCCAATCAGTCACTTGGCAATCCCTACTACAATAAAGAGTGTTACATCTTTCACAAGAATATTTTGCCCTTTTTAAGCATGTTTTGCATATTCCATCTGTATTTTGCAACTGGTCTTCACCATACTCATATAACCCCTATTACATAAAACTTTATAGTTTTAAATTATTATTAAAAAGTATATTCTTCTTCCACCTTTTAGTATCACTTACAAGGGTTCGCTTCTCGTACACATTATTAATATAATTATGAACTTCAGGATTGGCATCTGGAATTTCATAGAATGTATAACCCCTACCAAATGAAACATGTCTCTTGCCATCTTGGGTAATAGTTAATTGCCCTCTAGAATATTTTTAATAAAAATTACTGTATACATACATCATACATACATCTTCATTTAAATTTTAAATACCTTGTCCATAATGCGTTTGTACTTGCATAGGGCTCTAAATTTTCATATGGGTTGTAAGTATATGGGTCAGAAGGATATGGATACAATAAATCATTATCTGCTGTATATGTATATCTTGGTAATCCTGGATTTGGTTTCATCTTCTTAAATACATCCAAAGGATTGCCTCGTCCTCTCGTTTGTATTCTATATATTTTTTACAATCTTGTTTTATATAATTATATAGCAGTATATAAATATGTACTTACAATTGTTTATCTGTTAATGTATTAACTATTGTATCATGATTATCACATTTTGTAACATCTTTAAAAGTAGATACTTTTGTAGATTGTCCTTTGTTTGAATCTCTCTTTTTTGCATATGATACCTTTAAATGTAATGGTGGTACATCGTCTAAATCCTTTCTAGCATTTTCTGCTTTAAGATATGTGTCATAAGTAATATAAGCCCAATTAGCATTTGAACGATAAAAATATCCCTTAACTTGCCCATAATGGTTGAAAATTTGTAATAATCCATGCTAAAATACCATAATTAAATCATTTAAATCAATATATTATAATTTTGTATTTATATTTATTATTATTTTTGAACAAAATATGAAAATATATAATAGGATTATATATTTAAATAAAGAAACACTTAAATATAAAATAAAGTATATATTAACAATGATGAAAAATTATTAATTATTTTACATACCTCATTTAATTCTTCGGGTAAATTACTTACATACAGTTTAAATTCGTTACTGAAAGTAAAACTAATAATTTTATATATTCAGAAATATATATGTATTGTGTGTTTAAATACACATTTATAAACATGTATAATATGATATTTTATGAATTTATGAAATAGATAAATATTTATATATATACAAATACATGTACGGAATAATAATAATTATTTAGTTTAAAGAAATATGATTATTTGAAAAAGATATACAAGTAATGTGCATTTGATAAAGAACAAGGAAAAAATAAATAATAAGATAATAAAATATGGTAAAACATTTACACATATTTTAAAAATTAATTTGAAACAAAGTTAATTGTTAAAAGTACTTTAATTTTACCTATTAGACGATTTATTTTCTGTCATTTCATTAGCATCATAACACGCCATCGTTTTAGTATTAATAATATTATTTTCTCAATTACAAATTAAAGTTTATAAAGATTTACACGTGTATACATAAATTATGTATAGATAAATTTTATAAGATTCTTTAAAAACAAATGAAAAATATTCATCTAGTGAGTCCATAAAAAACACGACACATAAATTGTTTATCACAAAGAAAATTTTGAAGGACTAATCGGCATATAACATTTTAATACAATATTCCAGACTTTCGGTTTTCCATTTATTTTTCAAACGTTTATATTAATATAGTAATCTTAAATAATATTATAATACTATTATGATATTGTTAATACTGACTTGAAATATATTGAAAAGACTGTAGATTCTATTAAATAAGCCTATATAACACACATTGAGACAAGCATATATGTATAGAGAGAATACGATTGTATAATGCTGAAAATTTTTTACAAATATCTTGAAAACTAAGTCAGACCTTTCCTTTAAAATTACTACATTAATTAAAAAGTTACTACATTAATATATAAACATTTGAAAAATAACTTGGGTTAAATATATTGAAATCGTATTGTCGCATTGTTACCATTTTTACTTTCAGCATAGTTAATATTAGGATTGGTTATAATATCGAATAATTTATACTAAACAAATAAGGTGAATACATAACTATAAATTATATCAAAAAAATATATTCTCCATATTTTTATTGAAAATAATATTTATATAATTATTATTCCATAATAATAGAATGTACCTTTAATATTTTGTACTTTAATTCTATTTGAATCAGCACGTGTTTTTTAATCGATTTTAAATAGATCTAAAATATAGAATTTATTATAATATAATTATATCTCCAATTTACGTTTGTTCCAATTTATTAGAATACTTTTAGTTAAATATCATTAAATACCATTTTCTAAATATGAGAATTAATAATAATAAAGATAACATAAATAAATTTATTGAAAGTTATATATGATCAGTTTAAGAAACCCTTCTTTTCGTGGTTTCTAATCTGAGGGAATATTCACTCTGTTGGGATATCTATAAACGAGAACATATTTCGTGGTGTATTTGCTTCGTGTTCTCATCATCGTGATAACATTGAAGCACTAGACATCCTGTTTCGTGTTATAGCTGTGTTAGATGTCAAGATAAAAGAGTCGTATTTTATTCGCACAACGTATGTGCGAATCGAAATGTAATTAGTGTACATACTTTGTTATAATAAATTGTTAATTAAAATGACAATGGCATGGAAGCAAGTTAAAGAACATTTAGGAGTAGGTAAGAAATAAATTGCAGAATATTACTAATTTAGTCTTTGTAAGAACTAACATCCTGGGAGGTGCCCCAACCAGATAAAATTTTAGTTTTTGTTTTGCGCGCGAAACATTAATTTATAGATTTCTCTAATTATTTTAACTATAGGTATGTAATTGAATGTTAAATATGACTATTTTGCGTAAATTATACAAAATATTTAATTGTTTGATAGATATTATTGAGTGTAGTTGCTATACATTATCATTTTTTATGTAATAACTACTCGATATATATATTGTTATTAATATTGTAAAGACATGATAAATATCCAATAATTAAATATTTCATTATTTAGTTACTTTCTTTATAATGTAAATTACACCATTTATATATTTTAATTAATTGCAATGTTTAAATATAATTTATATTTAAAAATGACATTTATAAGTATATTTGTTTACCATTATATAGCCATTCATAACTTTGTACATGGAACTCCTGACTCAATGCGATTAACTGTTGGGGAAATGGTACAGATATTAGAAGAATGTGGAGATTGGTATTATGGACGTAGCAAATTTAGGGGAACATGTGGGATTTTCCCAAAATCTTATGTACACATTCTAAAACAATCAATGAATATGGACTGTTTAATACATGAGATCACTAACGTTTTAAGAGAGTGGGGACATCATTGGAAGCATTTATACGTGGTCTATATAATACAAAAAATTATAATTATTAGAACTAATATATTTAGTACTAAGAAATTAATTTAATTTTTGTTATATACAGATTCACTCTGTGCACTTTAAGACAATGCAACAACAAATTTTAGAGTTGATAGGATACAGGAGTAAAATTTTAAGTGGTACATTAACAGTAGATGAATTAAAGGATATGAAAAGATTAGCAACAGCTAAAATTGATACTGGTAACCAATTACTAGGTATGGATATGGTTGTGCGAGATGATCAAGGAAATGTTCTTAATCCTGAAGAAACAAGTACAATTCAATTATATTATCATCATGAAACAGCTGCAGAAAGAATAAGAAAGGCAGCTAATGATACAAAACAGAAACCTTCAAAACCTCAAGCACCAGTATATTCACATATTTTTTTTGTTAGTGTAAGAAATTTTGTATGTAAAATGGCAGAAGATGTAGAATTATTACTGACTTTGTATGATGGTAGAGAAATGAAAGCAATTACTGAAAATTATGTAGTATCATGGAGTAAAGAAGGACTTGCCAGAGACATAGATCAGTTGCACAATCTTCGAGTTTTATTCACAGATCTTGGCTCTCGAGATTTAGCCAAGGATAAAGTTTATTTAGTTTGTTATGTGATTAGAGTAGGAGGTATGGAAGCTAAAGATGCTGATCATCGCCGTTCAAGTGTAGCACAAACTAATCAAAAGGTCAAAAATATTGAAAATATGAGAAGACCATTTGGTGTAGCAGCAATGGATATTACTTTATATATTAATGGTAAACTTGAAGGTGATTCAGATCATCATCATTTTATTCCATTTATACAGTAAGTATAAAATTTTATTTAAATTTAGATTCTAAATGTATTCATAGGAAGTCTCTTATGAATGCAATTAAAATAGATCTGTTTTGTTGGGCTTTTTTTCATTGTTTCAGATGTTGTGAGAAAGAAAGTTTAGATGGTACATTACGTAGAATTCTTTCTCAAAAAGAAACAAATGTTCAGAAATGTGGTAATGGAAATAGTGCCACTTCTGCTGGTGGTCAAGGTTTATGGACTAGCTTGAAATTACTTAGAGGAGATCCAAAGCAAGTAAGTAAAAATTTGATTTTAAAAAAAGGAATTTAAAGTTATGCCATAACATTTGGAAAAAATTTTATATCTAGGTACGTGATGAAAATCCACATTTAGTACTTGGCAATGTTGCAATTGCAAGAAAAATGGGCTTTCCGGAAGTTATTTTACCAGGTGATGTGAGGAATGATTTATACCTTACATTAATTAGTGGTGAATTCAATAAGGGATCCAAGTCTACAGATAAAAATGTTGAAGTTACAGTTAGTATTACTTAAAAATGAATAATATCTTCTAGAATATTATTATTTTATTTTTTGATAGGTTAAAGTATGCAATGAATTTGGTGTACCAATACCAGGAGTTATGACATTAGGTGGTGGAGCATTATCAATTGATGAATATCATAGTGTTATTTATTATCATGAAGATAAACCTAGGTGGTGTGAAACATTTAAAATTGCTGTACCTATTGAAGAATTTAAACAGGCTCATTTGAAATTTACATTTAAACATCGTAGTTCAAATGAAGCAAAAGATAAGTCTGAGAAACCTTTTGCCTTAAGTTATGTTAAATTGATGCAACGTAATGGAACAACATTACAAGATATACAACATGAATTACTTGTTTTTAAATTAGATCAAAAAAAATACGAAGAAACAGATATCTCATATTTAAAATTACCATCAACAAGGGGTGAATTGGTAAAATTAATATCAAAATTAAATTGTCTTTACATATAAATATTTCAAAATGAAATAGTATTCTTTTTTTTAGGTTGAATTAAATGTTGAAAAAAAGCCAACATTAGGAGCTTTCACTTTAAGCAGTAAAGACAGCTTATTAATAGCAACTAATATTTGTTCAACAAAATTAACGCAAAATGTAGACTTATTGGGTTTACTGAACTGGGCATCTCACAATACAGATTTGAAAGAATCTTTAACTGCCTTAATGAAAGTTGATGGTGAAGAAGTAGTGAAGTTTTTACAGGTCGGTAAATTTTCTGTTATATAAGTAAAAAGATACATTATAAGTATAAAACTACTATGATTTCATTATACAAATTCTTTTTTTCTTTTTTAGGATGTTTTAGATGCTTTATTTAACATATTAATGAGCAATTCAGATAGTGATATTTATGATGATATGGTATTTGAATGTTTATTGTACATTATTGGTCTTGTATCTGATAGAAAGTATCAACATTTTCAACCAGTAATGGATTTATATATTTCCGAGAGTTTCTCTGCAACGCTCGCATATAAAAAATTGATTGCAGTATTACGTAAACGTATAGACAATGCAACTAATAATGATGGTCAAGAGCGAGATATATTGCTTAAAACAATGAAAAGTCTTCAATACTGTATGAGATTTGTTGTAGAATCTCGTCTTTTATTTACTGCGTATGTCTTATATTGTTTCAATAATTATTATGCATAAGAAAGTATTTTATAATTTTATTTTATAATAGGTTAAATCAAGATGAAGAGGAGTTTTCTCAAACTTTAACAGAATTGTTGAGATCTATTGTTGAACTTATGAGGCATGAAACGGATAGCACTTTACTAGTTCAAGGAGCATGCCTTAAATACTTGCCAACTACTATACCACATTTGCTACGAGTTTACAGTGGCAAGCAGTTGAGCACAATTTTGACTGATTTACTAATTACATTACCAGTAGGAAGATTAACTAAGCAGAAAATGATGACTGTTAATGATATTGTTCATAGTCCTCTTTTTTTGAATGCAGAATGTAGAGCAATTCTGTTACCTAGAATTACTGTTTTGGTTCGTGATTTATTGGAAGCTAAAGAGGAGGTAAGATATATCATGCTATTAATCACTATGATTTGTCAATTTTAGTGTGAAAAAAGGGAATTGTTACTTATTAAAATGCATATGAAACAATTTAAAAAATCTATTACACCTACAATATACTGGTGATTTTTCAAATGAGAAATTTATTTTTGAGTAACACTGTGTTTGTTGAAGCTTCGTTCATATTAATGTTTTTATAATAAAACTTAAAAACAAATATGCATTGCATATTTAATGTATTACAATTTATATAATCTTCAATTTGATTGACATAGCTAAAGTGTGAGCGGAGCTTTTGATTTGCATTTAAGACTTTCCTACACAACTTGTGAATAGTGTCATTATTTGTGCTTTCCGTGCAGCCTGACATCCTACCGCCACGCATCTTTTTGTGAATTTCATCAGTCTTGTATTACTTTCTAATTAAGGATGTCTTTATTTTTGTGACATGTTTAATTGCTCTAGACATATAACTTTGGAAAAAATATTCTATTAATTTAGATAGTGAATTCAAAATTAAAATAAAATGAAAAAATGTAATAAAATCAAAGACATCCTCTACAAAATTTTACTACAGCATGAAAATTGAATTATATCTTTATCTTGATATAGCATGTAAATATAAAATAAAACTCTAACTTCTTTAAAGATATTTATTGAAGTATAAGTTATTCTTTGCGTGTTTATATTCTTTTTTTTTTGTGATCAGACATTATAATAATATATATCTTCAAAATAAAAAAATATGAGTTTAGAAGTTATTAAAGGAAGAACCTTTATAATGGTACTTGTATGATGTAGTTTTCAATCTTTGTATAACTGTTTTGTTGCTTGGGATACTGCATTCTTCTTGCATGTAGACATATAATGCAATTTCTCTTAGGTGATGGACAATATTAAGGATGTAACTGTATTTTTTTATGCACACATTGGCATTATATTTTCACTAACATAGGGCTATTTCATTTTTGTGTTTGGTTTGGTTTTGGTTATTGACCTATAAAAGGGGCTGTCAAGTACGTCTGGAAAAAGCGTGGCGAAGGTAGCCAGGCTGCTCGGCGAAAATCGACATCGACTCAACCAGCATCGTGGCTATTCTGAAGAGGTAATTGTTGAAATCGTGAACTCAAACATGTTACTTGCAAGTAAATTTTGGATTACTGGCACGGTGATTGCTGATGTCATGAGAGATACATTGATCTATTTATGATAAGTATTTTATGTTAGATTTTCAGGAATGGTGTTTATTGTCGCGTTATTTAATTTTTTTGTTTTTTTTTTCTAATTATTTTTACAAGGACGTTTATGGATAATCTATATTCATAATCAAATATATTTTTATTTTATGTTTATGTAGGTAGAATTGTGTGTCAAGATTTTATCCGATATCTTGGAACTAACATTTAGAAAAGATATAGGAAGCACTATACAGGATGTGAAGGAAATTATGCTTACTGCTTTGCGGACCATTATACAAACAGTTATATCAATGGACAGGGAAAATCCATTAGTGGGAAATTTAGTTTCAGTTATGTTAGCAATATTTAGGTAGAAAATCAGAATATCAAATCATTTAAGTAAACATAATCTAAGTGTTTTATATTAAATATATATTTCAGGCAAATGACACAACATCATTATGAAATTTATATAAATCACTTTGGAACTAAATTTGATTTACTTGATTTTCTTATGGAAATATTATTAGTATTTAAGGATTTAGTATCAAAAAGCGTATTTTCAGGAGATTGGTGTGAAATGATTATGCTTCAAAATAGTATAATCTTAAAGTCATTGCGTTATTTTTCGGGTACTATTAGAGATTATTTCTTTACTGATTTTGAACAGCAAGCTTGGTCGAACTTTTTTCATTGTGCAATTGCATTTTTGACTCAGCCAGCTCTGCAATTGGAAACATTTACACCATCAAAACGTAATCGTATTGTTTCACGTTATAATGATATGCGCAGGTACATATTTGGATATTAAATTAATTTATCTTTCAAGTATAAAACATGTATTAAAATATCTTTTGTTTTTATAGAGAAACAGCATTTGAAATACGATCAATGTGGTTTAATTTAGGACAATATAAAATATTGTTTGTTCCTGCATTAGTTGGAGCAATATTAGAAATGGCATTAATTCCAGAATGTGAATTAAGAAAAGCAACTATACCTATATTTTTTGATATGATGCAATGCGAATTTTATAGTTCGCGTATTGTGGAAGGGTATGGTGATACAAAACGAGATCCTGCTCACATAAAAGCTAATTTTACAGAATATGAAAATGAAATGATTGCAAAATTAGATATATTGGTACGTACAACATATATCTTTAACATAATTATTGATCTATTAATTATAATTTTATTTTGATAGGTTGAGGGTGGGGCAGGAAATGAACAATTTCGTTTACTTTGGATTCAAGTAATGGGTAATCTTTGTGAAAAGCACTCAACTATGCGAGAACAAGGATTACGCTTTGTTGATACAGTAGCTAAACTCATGGAACGTCTATTACAATATCGTGATATTATTCATGCTGAGTCTCAAGAGCATAGGATGTTATGTATTGTAAATTTGCTTGAATTTTACTCTGAAATAAATAGGAAAGAAATGTATATTAGGTATGTATGCAATTAATAATTTTGCAAATTAAATTTGTTTTATTATTTTTAGAAACAATAATTATATGTATACTAAATTTCATGTTTATCTTACAGATATGTGAACAAACTTTGTGAACTACATTTAGAGTGTGACAATTATACCGAAGCAGCATATTCTTTGAAACTTCATAGTCAATTACTAGCTTGGAGTGACCAACAATTACCACCACTTTTAAGATCGCATAGATATTTAGCGTGTCAAACACATCGTGAATTAAAAGAAGCATTATACAATGATATGATCGAATATTTTGATAAGGGTAAGATGTGGGAATGTGCACTTGCAGTATGTAAAGAATTAGTTGCTCAGTATGAAGAAGAAACATTTGATTACTTACAACTTTCTGTATTATTAAGACGCATGGCCAAATTTTATGACTCGATAGTAAAACAATTAAGACCGGAGCCTGAATATTTTAGAGTTGCTTATTATGGTCGCGGTCATCCAGCATTTTTACAAAATAAGGTATTCCATGAAAATGTTATTTATCTTGTAAATAATTGCTTAAGTACTAGTTACCATCGATCACAGGTATTCATCTATCGTGGAAAAGAGTATGAACGACTTAGTGACTTTTGTTCGCGGACATTAAATCAGTTACCAAATGCAGAACAAATGAACAAATTGTCTCCCCCCACATCAGAAATGTTAGAATCCAATCATCAGTACGTTCAAATTAATAGAGTAGATCCATTAATGGATGAGAAAAGGCATCGACTTAGTGGAAAACCTATAACTGCAGAAGCAGTGTTGAGGTAAAATATGATTTCATTACATACAGTAAATTTATAGCGAAATTAAATTTAAGATATTAAATTTTATATTTTAAATTTAAGATATCATCGAGTGAATGATGTTCAACGTTTTCGATTTTCAAGACCAGCACCAAAGAAAGATTTGACCTCGACTACTGTTAATTTTGGTGATAAAGAAAAAGATTCGAATACTATTATCAATAATGAGTTTGCGTCGTTATGGTTAGAAAGAACAGTACTCGTTACGAGTCATCCTTTACCGGGCATTCTTCGATGTTTTCCTGTTACATCTAGTGAAACTTATTTAGTCAGCCCTTTGCGTAATGCAATTGAAACAATGGAAGCTACAAATACTACATTAAGAGATTTGATCTTAGCACACAGAGCTGATAATAATCTTCCATTAAATCCACTTAGTATGAAACTAAATGGTATATTAGATCCAGCAGTAATGGGTGGTATAGATAATTATGAGAAAGCATTTCTCAATTCTGAATATCGCAATTCTCATCCTGAAGAAAATTCCGATCTTTTGAAATTGGAGGGATTAATTGCCGAACAAATTCCATTACTGAGTGTTGGTGTTCAGTTACATAAAATACGTGCTCCTCCTGAATTAACTCCATTTCATCAGCGTTTGGAACAATGTTTTGCGTCAATGCGGAATCAAGTGGAGGCCAAGTATGGGAAAAAGGTAAATTAAAATATTCATGAATACTTGAACAGGAACTTGTTTGAAAATTCTAGTTATATATACGAATTACAGACATGTGATTTACAAATTGAAAGTTTAATTCAACCTGTTACAATGCGAAGACATCAAGCATCACGAGGCGAGAGTCATCGATTATCTGAATCAAATATTATGAATGCAGAGTAAGTAGTATATATATTTATTTGTATGATCTGCTGCAAATATTGCTACCATTTGTACTAACAGTTTCATTCATTTATAACTGTGTTATTACATTGCATTAATTTTGGTATGGGACTACAACCACGTTTATTTTAAATTATTATTTATACAAATAAAGATTAACATGCATGTAGAAATGAAAATCATTTAAAATTTGTAATATATATATTATTTAAAAATAAGTAAAATATCATCCTATGAAAGTTGTTTTTTATATCTTTTATTATAATGTTACGTGGTTATGTTGTAATTATCTCGTTCAGCTGTGGAACTCACTCCAGGGTATCCTCTCTTACAAGATCCCAAGTTACAACGTTCAAGTCGTTCGCCTCATTCAATTTTAACAACAGTACACCTTCATCTGGTACTCAAAACATCAATTTGTCAAGGTAAAGATATTACAATGGTCATGTGTAAGAATACTTAAGAATACTTTTAATTCATTTTTTCATCTCATACTATTGCTTATACTATTTTACAACTACTTATAGATTCAAGTACAATATCATTTACCATCAGTATCAACTATTATATTTTAAACACTCATATTACTTATTCGTTCATATCACAATTAATATGTCATTAAATAAATAATTTACATACCAATTGTTTACTTCGAAAGAAGAAGTTCGGTTAAATATCTATAAAGAAATAGTTTTCTAACTTTATATTTTTATACGTACACTAATGCGTACATCTACATCAGCATAAGCACACGCACTTGTACACCAGCTTACGTGAGCGTAAACATACACACACATTCTACATAAATATTTAGAAATTTTGAAATTTCATTTTATAAACACATAATATCCCATTATCCTATATCCACATGTAGCAGTTTTTTTTTTGTATATATACACACGCGCACTCGTGTGTGTGTGAGCGCGTGTCATATATACACATATATGAACAAATTTTTTATTTATCCTTTGATTACCTTTTTATACATACTGTGGCTGATATATTAATTTATTGCTTTAAAACTATTTTTTATTACAGAATTTTAGTGTTGTTTGGTTTAACAAAGCCTTTTATAGAAATGCTTTTAAATATTGAAAATAAAAAATATTAAGAGATTCCACATATGTACATATATGTTGCAAAAATTATATCTGTACATATACATTTATCATTTTTATTTTGTTTTTTATTTGCATGATATTTTTTGTATTATTTGTTTTATTATGTTTGTCTATGGCTAAAACAACTTATATAACATAATCAACTAGTATGCTAGATAGATAAATAATGCTCTATTATATTAGTATAATGTTGATAATATATAGGTGATTTAGGTATTTATAAAGTTAGATTTATAACAAAATTTATTATTATACAGAAATTCTTCAATACGTTCACACATATTGTCAACGGCATCTTTACAAAAGGCATTAGGAAGTCCAAGTCCAGGAACAAATAAAAAAAAAGATTCAAAACGAAGAAATTCACGTAAGAGTGATTCAGTTGCATCAACAAAAAGTGATCAACCAACAAGTCAGTGGTATACTACAACAGATGTACCACAAATTACATCAACACCTGTCACTCCATTAATGTCCAGTTTTCCTACTACTCCAATATTCGAACTTCGTCAAGAGGTAATATTATCTTAATATAATTAATGTCAATTATATTTTACAAAAAAATATAATTAATAATAATATATTCTTTATGTAGCTAACACCTAAACGTCCATTGAGATCAGAAGTAGAAAAAGAAAGAAGAATAAGTAATCGCTTGTCTGGACAATCTCAACATTATTTAAGAAATATAAACAATGGAATGGATTCTAGTAGTTTAGGGAAAGGAAATAGGGATAGTTTTGGTACTACAGATAGTACAGCATCTGAGGATGATCCGCCACCGCCTTTACCTATGAAAACTCGCGAGGCTGATTATTGTAATCTTCCAGAAGAATTACCTGTTCAACACATTGGAACAGGTAGTTTAAACAATTTTAACCGGTCCTTAGGACAGTGGTCAAAAAATAAACTTCCAACCCCAACAGACGATCTTGACATTCAAACAAAACCACCTACTCCACCACCGAAACCAAAAAGACCACCTTTCAATTTAAACAAACTTATGATTTCTTCAGATATAGATAATTTTAATCAAGACCCGTCTGTAACTTGATTCAAATTAGTTAATGATCACATATCTTGCCAGTATATTAACACGCGTGCGCACGTGTGTGTATATATATATATATATATTTTAGTTATGCGCTAGGAAATTAAAAAGTTACCATTTACATTCTTTATGTACCTTTTCTTCTTATGTAAGTAAGAAAATATCTGCAACTGATAAAAATAACAGTAAGATATATAATATTTTAACATAACATGATGAATGTATTGAGAATTAGATTTTATTTTTATGCTCTATGAAGTCATACATATTGGTCTTTATTCCATCCAATTGAAAACTTTCGAATGAATTACATATATTACCATTAAACATGATAAACATATATACCAATTAAACAAAATTTTATAATTTTTATATTTCTAAAATACTTTTATATAATATAAATTTTTTGCTTAATACAATCATATAAAGTATAAGTTTGACATACACTTGTATTAACAAATGTCAGCTAACATATTGCATATATTTACTATTGTCATTGACATCGAAATCTTTCATTTATAAAAGACTTTATACTCATTATAAGATATATCTTAAGTTATATATATGTTCATTAAGAAACAGATATTACAATTTTTACTCCGTATTTTTATAAATTTTTATAATGCGTGTTTACTGAATTTTCCCTGTAGAAATATTTTTGAATAAGTTTTACTGTTATTGTTGCTAATCGTTTTTTAATGTAAATAAGATTTACAAAACTATTTTCAAATTTGAAATTTTTTAATATCTGTTTTTTTGGAAGCTCGATTTTATACTATAGTATTATTAATACCTAATTACCTAATTAAGCATTATCGATCTATTGTGATTTATTAGCATAAATTAAAAATTTGTTTTATGAACCAGTTGATAAGATATCTTGTAAAATGTTAAATTATTTACAATGGAGAAAATTTTATATTATTTTGGAACAAAAAAATAAGTCATTTCATATGCAGTACACAAGCATTATATTATAGAATTTATAGCCTGTTTATTTATTCTATGCCTAAATTTCATGATAGATTATTTTATAACAAAACAAATTTTTATGTATTTTTACACAATTATACAAATTTGTTGTTAGAAGGCACTATATCACTTGACAAAATTGCTGTATTTTTGACATGCAAATGTATAACAAATTTATAATAGAAAGATGAACATATTTTTGATTATAAAATATGATATTTTTAATTGCAATTACTATGCGAGTCTCATACCAAAGAGATTAGTGCTTTATTTATTTTGTTAATAAGTTGTATGTATCATTTAAGAAATGTTATATTACATATTATTCAGATAAAACAAAAATAAATTCAATATTTTTTAAATTAAAGATGAACAAAAAATTATTGCAGTTATACATATTTACTTATAACTGATTTCTTAATGTTCATTGATAAAAAAAAAGTTAATCTATTCTAATATACATATAACGTGCCATTTGTTCTCCTTGATGTTCATAGTAATTAATTTTAATTTAATTTAGGGACCAATGTAACAACGTTAATTATCAAAATTAAAATTTATTTACTGTTAAATATAATATATTCATTTATGTATTATTAATAATTCCTTTTCTGTACCTTACAGTTAAAAGATCGAAGAAACTGTGTCATTGAAAAATTATGTTATATTTTATAATAATATTGTAGTAATATTTTGTATGTTTCTCTATGATATACAACATTTGGAATCAGTTTTTATATTATCTCTATTTCTGTTGACATCAAAAGGTTCTGTCGTCAAATTTCTGTTTTGTGCCTGTTAAATAACTTTTGTATTACATTTAAATTTTGCATTCAAATGTTTCTTTATAAACGTAAAAATTTTAATAACTTAATTAAGGGTTAAATTTAAATAACTACTTACAAATGATGCTTTACTTTTTTGCAAATTTTCATTCTTTATTTCTTTACTTGTTAACCATGACCATGTAGATGCATCCTACAAACATCATAATTTATCTATAATTATTTTTCTTTTTTTCTTTTTCTTCTTATTTCTAAAACATACCATTACTTGCTGACTAACTTTTATATGATTTAAATTTGGATACAATGCATCATCACAATCAAGAGGAGGAGCACTAGGAAGCTACAAAATAATATAATTAGTTTTTTACTTAGATATAAATAAATGATGTAAAATCTACTTTGATTTCTCATTATTTTTACCTGTTGATTTATTTCTTGTAGATTCTTGCTATTTGTGTCATTTCTTTCATTCTAAAATACATCAAAATAAAAATGTAATTATGTTACATAAAGGGAAAAGAGAAGTTTAACATATATTACAAGAAATAATTATGCATATTTACTGTTTTCTTTTCACTGTCTATAGATTCACACGGGTAACGATCTAAAAAATAATTATACATGTTACATTTTTCACATTTAAAACCCCAATTACTACAAGCATCTTTAAGACATCCATAATTACATCTTTTACAATGTTTTACATTTTGTTTATTTATTGATTTTTCATTACTGTTTATATTAAGAGAAACCTTTTTATCACAATATTTAATATTTTTTGTAGATTCAAAATTAATATCAATATTATCCAATAATGTAACTGTTTGGTTTTGCCTTTGTTTAGGAGGTGTATATTTGTTAGCAATTGATTTATTATCACTGTTTGTATTATTATCCTTTCTCCAGTTGTTTCTATTCATTACAGTTGTATTATCTGTATTAGTAGTCTGTTTCCTTTCTCGAATATGTGTGTGTTTAATAAAAACTGATACTAATGTTAATAGATCAAGATTTTTTATACTAAATAGCTTTTGTTGTAGATGTTTGTCTTGTATCTCAAGAATTATTTTATCTCTAATCAAACTATCTGTCATATTTCCAAAATTACAAGTTTTTGCTTTGTTCTGTGAAAAAAAAGGGAAAATTAGAATTTAGTGATAAATATATAAACTTTTTTAATAGTGACTTACCCTCAAATATTTAATATAATTATCAATTGATTGTTTTTTGTTTTTACGCGCAGTAAAAAAATTATATCTCTCTATAACTTCATTTTTAGAGTCATTAATAGATTCCAGGTTTTTCACTAACGACAAATCCATCATATTTCTTTTTTCTATTTATTTAAATCCTTTTTGTCTACTTTAAAAAATTAATCTTTTCTGTGTAAATTACATTTGCTATTTAGTACTTACGTGCTTGACTGTCGAATACTTTAATTCTAAGAACACAAATTTTTCTGTAAACAGGTTTATTCCCTATCTGAGAATGACATGAAAAATCGTTTTACATTCATGTCAACATAATACAAAAAAAATTCTAACATTGCTATTGGTAACAAGTTTAAATTCAATTATTAAACATTTGCAAATATAAATTTAAACATATATAAGATCCTGAAAGTAAAATAATATATTACTACGTATAATTTAATCATATAGTTTATCTTAATTATTGTTCTCTTTTTGTGGATGTTAATCACTTTAAAAAATAATTACTTATTAGGTTAGTATGTGCTTTAGGTTAGTTATAAAAGAATCTTGAAAAATAAATATCTTCAAATTATAGTTTTGACTTGTAGAGTTTAAGATGAACAAAGTATATCAGTTTGAAAATTGGAGAATTTCTTTAGCGTCACGAAACAATTTGTTGTATAATGATATTCCGTATATTCCTATGTTAGTGGAAGATATTCCTATATTTTTGTCTTTCGAGGATTTTAAAGAAAATGGGATTAAAACGATACAAACATTAGGAGAACTTATTCATAAAAGTGAAACTTATGCTACGCTTTTGTCTTTAACAACTGGAAATAATTCTGAATTTCCTATCAGCTTTAAAAGTTTAAATGTTAATGATATATATATCAAAGATTCACAGGACAGATGTTGTGCAATATGGGTTAGTTTCACCTTTAAAAGTTTCTCGCATTTTATAAATTTTTGTTCATATATCATAATTAAATTGTCTCAGTTTATATAATTTAGGCACAGAAACATTTCTTTCTAGAAAAAATACCTTGTGTTTAAAATATATGGAACTCTAAAAGTGGAAAAATCAAAAGATGTATTAGAGGCCTCCCATTTGGTTCCAGTACATGATGTTGTGGGTACATGGAATGTAATGATGTTATTAATTGCAACTGCACGTTCCGAATTTCGTCAGTAAGTATTACAAATTTTTTATAAAAAATTGATATTTAATCATTTTTATTCTTTTTTAGGTATTATCGTACTAAAGCACAAAATAACATACTACAATCCCAGTGGATTAATATGAAGGAGCAAGAAAAACGACTTGTAAAAATAGATACTTTATAAAATATATTATTATAATGTTAAGTACAATAATGCATATATATATATATATATATTTATAAAAATAAGTAGATTATTGTCTCTTATATATTAAAATATACCTAAAATTGTTAATATCATATAGTGTAACATAATTACTTCTTAACTTTTAACATTTGTTTAACTTTTTAATATTTAATAACTATAACAAAATATTCATCAATTTAATTTTGTGAATGTAACTGAGCTTTACTATTGCACATTGAGGTAAAATGTCCTGTTGTTTTACATATGGCACAAACTGTATTGTTTGCTGGACAAACTGCTCTAGATGCAGCATGACTAAAACTACAGAAACGACAATGTAAAATTCGTATAGATCGACATCTCCAAGAAAAATGATTTAAACGTCCACATTTTGTACAAATTTCATTAAATGCTGGACATTGTTTCAACATATGTACACCTCCGCAATAATTACAATCAGTAACAAATATCTTTGGGCATCTTCTTGAAAAATGATTCCAATCATTGCATTTTGAACATTGTTTTCCCTGGGATGGGCATTTATTGAAAGCATGGTTTCCATTTCCACAGTTCATACAGTTTTTTGCAGAATTGGTGTACAATGTCCAAATAAATCCAATTTCTTTTAATGTTAACTTATTAAAATCATCAGAAAGTTTAAACGATGGAATGAAACAATTGATAGAATTGTTAAATTGACTTTTATCAATTTCTATTAAAATTTTGTGTTTTATTTGGTTTTCTCCATCTTCAATATTTTTTTCTTTGATTATTTTCTAGAAAAAAAAATTATATAACATACCTACAAAATTCTTATTTTTTTAATATTTTATACTCACCTTTAAGTCATCTATATATCCATAAACGCTTTCTTTAGGCAATTTTTTTCTTTCTAAAAATAGGAAATATTCGTCAAATTTTTGTAGTAATATATCTACATTATTTCTTTCATTTGGAGAGCTAAATATAAATGTATTGTAAATATCGAGCCCTACTGGACCCATTATATTTAATAACGTATCTCCCCATTCTTTCGGATAACTATCTTTAGACAATGATTTTTTGAAGGTTAAGAAATTTCTTTTCCATATGTACCAAGTATCAAAAAATTCATCTTTTGTCAAAAATTGTCTAGGTGGTTTAACGGAAACTACGTTATTTACCGAATTACGTGTTCTTTGTGTGTTACCTAAAAATATATAATTGCATGAAATTATATTATATCTGAAAAGATATATCTTCAATACTTAGAATATTTACCCATTATTTTAACAATTGTTGGTCTGTTAGAATTCTGTAAAGTGACTTTTAACCTTTGTAATTATATACGTATATCTAGTTTTAAAGAGCAAAACAGTTATACTGTATCGATAAGTATAAACTGTTTCCAAGAATTTTTTATCTTCGCCTATATGTAATCGAAAATGTAATTTATTAGATATAACTAATCAAAATATATACATATTTGATATAACAAATAAAATAAAATGCGTTATAATATGGAATAAACTTTTTATCATCAGTTTTATTTTATCTTACCAATATTAATTGTGATTGGTCGTTCAGTTAAAAGTTCATGCAAAACTATCCTGAGTCATAAGTAAAGCAATGTATGAACTGCTTTTGATATCCTATACAAAGGCCTGACACGTTATAGCGTTCCCCAGGCAACGTGACTCAAATTACCAGTAACTGCATCAGGGTAAAATAAAATTTTCTCTGTCGTTTAGTTGAATCTAACATTATTTACCGAATATTGTTGATTGATTTTCTACTTACAACATTTGTGATCAGTCTCATTATTTGTTAAGCATGTTCGTGTCTCGATGAACCCCGTCGACATACATACATTAAATACATTTTTTATTATTATCGTTTAAAAAACGTTCGATTTCCATTTATCACATTCGATAATGGCTTTCAAAATATGTTTGAATCTTAAACAAATTAAAGAAACTACGTTGTGTAGTGAATGTATTTTGGATGATAAAAAAGACGCAATTTGCTGAATGGTCGATTGAAAGAGAAGTCTGTTTAAATTTGCGATACATAGTTGCAAGCTTTTCAGCCGCATGGATACCAATTATAGAGCAAATATCAGCAAGTGGTTATCACCTCAGGGTGACATTGTCGGGAGATGGTTTGTCGATTCGTCTATGCTCGCAAAGAGGATGGACGATCTCGTGGAACGCATAGCCTTAATCATCTGGGACATCACAAATGCACAGACCTGCAATTTCGAGGTGCGATACTAATAACCTTCCCACGGCTAACTTCCGTCAGCAACTTAGTTTCTCGTTACGAATTGCTTGATTTTTTAAATAAACACGCTTAATGCGGTGCTCTCCTTATAATTAATTAATTATTCATAATTAAATATAATTAATTAATTATGGGTAATTTTGTGCAAGTTGCTTGAACTCTATTCCTCGCGTTTTGCTTCTCGTTATTCTATGTTCGAAACAAAACAAAATGAAAAAAGAAGAAAAAATTTGGCGTTTCATTTCCTATATTCCATTTGTTTCTGACAAAGGGTTCATTGTTCTGTAGATTTATTAAATTCTCGTTCATAAAAATTCTCAACATAGAATAAATGTTACAGGGAGTAAAGAAATATTCATGAAAGAGATGTCTAGGGGATTTTTCGTAAATCTAGGGATAGATAGAAGCTTGTACCTTCCTAAATGGAATTATACGTTTAAAACTGAAATTCTATTGTCTGTATTTTCAATGCAGGTGTATAAAAGAGTGGCGAACGATTTAAAGGAGATGATGGAAGATTACATATTGATTAGTACGATAAGCCTTGATATACAGCCGATTTACAAGTACAAGATGCGTCACTGCTTGATGATAATGAAACGGAAAGTGAACATTCTCGCGAGATTCGTTCGCAATCTGATAAACGAGATAGTTGATTGCAAAAATGACGAGCTGTTAAGAGTTATCTTCAGGTTTAAATCGTAGAACAGCATGCTTAATTTTTCTTCGACTAATAATAAGTACTGTATTAATAAAAAGAGAACAAAAAAAAAAATATCGATTTCAGATTGGTGAACATTTACAATGATGTACTAGATATGAACATCGATGTCTCAGACTCGTCAACAAATGTATTCTGTAACGATTGCCCAAACATGCTTGAACCGATGAAGAAGATGTCCGTTACAAGAATATTACAGGTAAAACCTGTAATTTTTTTTCCACTTTTCGTCAGCTGCATCGTTCTTAATCCTTGATTCCTTCGGCTTTACCTTGTGACATTTCCAATTTTCAAACAAATGGAGCCACGAATTTCTTGACACACAATCCATAAAATAGTTAGCATAATATTGGAACAAAGTCTTACTTTACTTACTTTTACTTTTCCCGATTGATTTTTTAGGGTAAATTTCGAATAGTGAACGGTTTACGACTTGGTTCCAGATATTGGCGAAAAATAGGGCAGAGGAGTCGTGTCACGAACTCATCGACTGCCTTTTAACAAATTACGAGCCCCATGAGAAAACTGATCCTTCCTCAACGATGTCCGGTGATGCTGATATTTCCGAAAATTCCAGTATCGAGATATACCGGTTAGCATAGTATTAAATGATCGCACAAAAGAAGAGTGCAGGACCAACCCTTATGGTGCTATATATTCATAATTGGGACAATTAATTCTGCAAACACGCAAAGATTTGACTAAATCAGTATCCCAGAGGTCTCGCACTCTTCTCTTCAGACGAAAGGATATTCTCCCACGTTACACGCTTCACGAGAAATTGATTCGTAGAGCCCTTACGAGACACTTAACGCCGCCGATCGAAAGTTCCTCGTCGAAGACGGAGCCGGAAGTGTCGAATATCGAGAGCATTCAGACATTGGTCAATACTCAGAATGAGCAGGTGCTCAGACTTTTAAACGTCGTTCAAGAAGTTTCACCCAGATTATTGGGCACGGATGCATTAAAAACTATCAAAGGTAGAGAAGCTTCTTCCTATTCTTCCTGCATCACAGCACTTAATCCAGCGCGTTGAAACTCAATCAAATATTTGCACGGTCGCGAAAGGCGAGGCGAGATTGAGAAGCAGCGCGATAAAGAAGGTGAAAAATTACTACCAAGAAGTGGCGTGGGGCGCTCTATCAGGTATTTTGGATCACGTAGTCCTTTGGTGGTCGCCAGAAGCACTTGCCACTCGTCATTACCATGGAGCAGAGCAGTTGAAAGATTGGCTCAGTCAATTCATCCAGAAGAATCGTGGTAAAATGAAGCACCAATACCTAATATACGATTAGGCTCTTCCACTTGTACGAAAGATAAGTTGTCGTGTCTGATGAAATTTTAGTACCACACACGGTGAGACCGGCATTACAGAATCTTTGCGATGCTCTTGGTTGTCATGCTACCATCACCGAATGGGACCAGTTATTTAGACTAGCCTATACGTCGGCTTTTAAGTGTCAGTCGAAAGCTTCTTCCACAGAGGTGGGTCTCTTTTCTTCTGAAAAGAATATGCTTCGGATTTTATCCTGTAGGTAGAACAAGTGAGATGTTAAGCGACAAATAAAGTAATTGCAGCAGGGGTAAGGTTCGAAAGGATTTGTTCGAATTTACAGGGGTCTGACACCGGCCAAATGTTCGTAGAATTGTTCCAATTGCTCGTTAGGTTGAGTAACGAGTGCGAAGCAGGCGGTGAATGGGTAATAGGAGCCCCATTGATGGAGCTACCACTGTCAGAGCAGATAGTCGTTCTTCATCGATTAGATCATTCCGTACACACAGCGAGGTTATGGATCGAACAAGAGGCGAAGATCATAGCTCATACGTGGGATCTAGACGTGTTCTTCCTCCTGGTAAAGGGTGACATAGTGAATTGCCTCGAAGAATTATCTTATTTAAAGGTAATTCTCAACTTTATCATGTTACTGTATCATGTACGTTTGTTTTTCAACAATTTCTTTTATACTTTAGCTTGCTGATCATACGAATGCGTTATCGACAGATCCCATCAGTGTTCAGGTGTATGTTTGTGCAAAGATGAGGGCAAAAATTGTGTCCGAAGTAAACGTGAACATAGATTTACTTCAGGTACGCGATGAATTTTACTTGGTAGAGGGGAAGCACCCATTCTTATTTCAATTCTTCACATTAACTTTCCACAGAAGTGTGCTACGAAATGCATAGACATTCTAGCAAAAATCTGCCGCGTGGTTAGTCTGGCAAACTTGCACATGTGCTTTCCACGGTCGAGTTATTGGAGGAAAGGTTGCGACGTTACTCCAGTGGCTGCTAGTCTTTACGTGGAGCCTTACTTCGGTAGGAAAATCCCTTTCAGACGTACGCTTGATTCTTTAAAAGCGCCCATTCCACAGAAAAAGTATTGTTTCCCGTGTTGGAAGTTATCGAGGACCCCGAGACGTCCAATATGATCTTAAAAATTATGTGCGAGGCATGGCTGGATTACATCTATCTGCACCGAATTAAATTTAGGTAAATCGCTAGTTGATTCTAGCTCTTATTCTTGATAAGAAATGTGCAAAGAAGAAGCGAAATAAAGAAAGCATGCAGGGTAAATTAAATCTAAAGTGTTGTGTATACGTTTTACAGCGAATATGGTGCATTGCAATTGCTCACGGACTTCGCGTACGTGTCGAAATGGGTGACTGATTGCCCGATCATTTCCCAGAATGTGCGAAATCAACTTTTGAAGAACGAAGTGTTACGACGATGCGAAGGAGTGGGACGATTGCTTCTCCGCCACCCTGGCGAAGCTATCTCTATGCGCAAACGACATAGTATGAAATAAAATTACGATAAAACTGAGACAACTTGATTTCGGAGTGGTAGGAAGAGATTATTCCTATCTAATGTTTCAGCTAGAAGGACAAATGAACGTGGATCGCCTGAATCTCCAGGATTGGAACGCATGCCAGCGGAAATGTACGTCCCCAATCAGGAACAATGGCTGGAGCTTCGCGCCTCGAAGAGATACAATTTTTGTTGTACCGAATGACCAAAAGATATTCTCACGAATTTACTATATTTCGAAACTGTAACCATGGGATGTTAACGTAGCTCTAGGTGATCATTTTTAAAGGCTTTTATTAAATTAACACGAAGACCGATGTTTCAGTAGCTTTTTTGGTTACATCAAGTGCGGTTGCCTCTCGCGAGGCAGGCTCTAGCGCATGTTACCTTATTTCAATTGCACTCGAATGCACTGGACCTGGCTGCAATGTCACAGGCGACGATGGCGAATTATATAACGAATATAGGTCAATTCCGTGCGCTTATTGTTTCAACAAAGCCGGGGATCCCCCGGTGCGAACTCGAGAGATTTATGCGCCTGCGAAGCCCACCAATGGGAAGGAAACCTTTCGTCGAACCCGCGTCGCGTATTACCTTACGCATCTGCATACGTTACGGGATAAAAAGTGGACAATACATGTAAGACCAGAGGGGCTGAACATCGACCTCTGACTGGTTCCAGGAATCAGTCCGGACTCCGCTTCGGAACTTAGCGCAACTACTTTCCACGGTGACCGTAATGGAACGATCGAAATTATCGGTGTTTCGTTGATTTTCGCATTCCACCGGGAGAAGGACCCGGTTAATTACAGCCTGCTGCGTTTACGATGCGTCGAAGATTGTAATTAGCGGTGGATGCACGACAATCGATGCGCCAGTTCAGTCGCTTTCATAATTACTACCTAGCTAGTAGTAGAGGGAGTGGATAATCAACAGGGAGTTCACCGTTTGCGTTGATCGACGGTTCGACACGTGACAACAGACCATCAGATTTACCACGATTATCCTCGGTGAATCGGTTTTTCTCATCGGGTCGTGCAAGTGCTGCGTTGACACCGCGTTGCTCCGCTAATAGTCATTGTTGGAAATGTACCAGCGTAGGCAGCAATGCAGGTCGTGAAAACGTGAGTACAGGTGGTTTCCGCGATACAAGAGCTGGATAAATCGATGAAACGTTAAAGCTTGCATATTGGAGTTCTTTAGACGAGCGAATTGACAGACACGTGGAAAGATAGGAACACGAAGCCATAGTCCGCACTGTGATTCAACCGCTAAGAGTCGAGATTATGTTCCACTGTTCTTGTACTGTTTCTTTTTAGTGCCCGAATTCCTCATTACGCGCGTCTGTGTTGCATTTCGTATTCTTTTGTATTTTTTCTTTTGTTCTTATTGGATTTCCTTCTGCTAGTGTCCGTATGCTGCTTTTTTTAATACAGGAATTCTTTTCTTCGTTTTTTTGTTGCCTTTTATCGTTATAATTATTTTTCCGCTGTCCTGGGTGTTATTTCTTTATTCCTGGAATCCTTGTCCCGATGTCCTCGCGTTCCTTTTATTGTCCCTTCTTTCGCTGGGTTTGCTTGGTATTAAAATTTCTTCTACGATTTCCCGTTTTTTGTGCAGGGAATGCTGTCCAGGGTATGGAAATATCAGAAGGTTGCAATTTCATCGTAAAATTGTGCTTTCGAGCACAATTGTGTTCTAAGGAGGAATTATCAAAGAGAAGTTCGTAGGTTGACAGATTATTCCCTACCGATGATTCGAGATACAGGACATTGTCTATGAAAGTAGTTGGGTTCGGAGGGGAATCCTCAGAGTAGTGAGGTTAAGTAGTTGTCGCAATTAGATAGTTGACAACAACCATTTTAGAGAAAGTGATCATTCACTAGTGACTACTGACTGGACACCGTCTAATCGTATACAGCTCACATTCATTTCAACAAAATTTGGCAAGCGTATCTACGATATTAGATAGCGAGTCAATCATGAGGAAATTAGGTGTACTTTGCACACAACCGCGTAGTTTAATCCATTGTAATTGTAAGAGGATCCACTCATCAGTTGTAATACAGTGACAAACGTTGCCACCTATAAATTTCTGATCTCATCACGAGAATACTTTTTTTCTAAAAATATTTTCCTGATATTTCGATTTTAGATCTTGCTAAGTCCTAGTTAGTTAGTTACTACATCGACTATACTTTATCTTTGTGCCATTCCAAAGTAATAAAAGTGTCGATTGGACTTTTATGAACGCAGCTCCGCTTCGCGGCCTCTATCCATAGGCACCGCATGATAAAAACGCATGAGGCGACTCGTGTTTCATTCTCAGCCGTCAATCCTCGATCCTTCTTATATAATCAAACCAGTCGACTCGTAAAGCGTGTATGAACGTGTATAGCCATAGAACGCTTGCGGGATATAGCAGATACGTCGTTAGGAACGTCAAGGCGCAGGAGCTAGCTTGCTTCACGATTTGAGAGTAATCCGTGATTAATTGCTTCATCTTCGATTGTTGCACTCTGCCGTTACGTTAATTCAGAAATTTGTCGTCATTCGTTATTCTACCTGTTATTCTACGTCGTAAAGATTGAAACTCCTTCCAATTTTTGGTTAGGTAGTAGGGGTGGGACTTCCGAATGCTTCTAGAATTTTCTTGTGAAGTTGTATAGTTTTCATTAAACTATATCAATCCCGATTCTGGTCTATCTTGTCACTTGCGAACGTTTGAGAGTTTACGTAGTATTTCAATACCTTATCAAGATTTCGCTGTCAAGAAACGCAACAGTTTGTTTATTACTGTGTCATTTTTCCTACGTCACTAGATTTGCCATTCTCTTGGGTAACATCGATCCCATCGTGTGATTCTTACCTAACGATAGAAAAATCCTGATCGATATTTAAAACTTATTGTTCCGATCGAGTACTCCGATCGTTTTCAACCAGTTCCATGAAATGTATCGCACAGTAGTACGACATCGCGATGCTCTATTTTCACTATACCAGTAGCTACTCTTACACGCCTCATATACTGTATATCTTAAAGTCATCCTTAGAATCCGGGTGTGTAGAAGGTCTGTTTATTTCTCCTTTAACTTGCTCTACCTATTTTTCTACGTGTCTCATCCAACATTAGCCTAGATCTCTCGATTTTTAGACAGCTACTGAGACAAGAATAATCCGTTCGAACCGATTTCTCCATGTTTGGCGTCCAAAAGGCACGGTTTTCGTTACGGAAATCCTCGCCATTGATGGACAGAACATGAACGACTTTCCCGTTAGGGAACGCGGCGCGGACAGCCGGAATCTTACGATGCGCTGACACGAAGAGGGTGTCCACGGGGACAGGAAGTTCCGTAGGACCCGCGTTCTGCCGCGGTAAACCGAGTAGACTCGAAGGGAGTCGAGTCGCGGAACTCGGACTGAACCGGTGTAGCGACGACATCCTCGGCGTTGACATCGTCCAGCCCAGTCCACCTTTGTTCGCCATCGTGATCGTCGACACGCAACGACGAGCACCTCTCTCGCCTTTTCTTCCCGTCGCTCACCAGTCAGGCTTTGAGCTCCTACCATGTACCCGAACAGACGCGTCAACGAGAGGACCTCGCTCACTAGGCCCCTCGATTCCCCGAACTACGTGGAGTTCGCTAGCCTGCTGAGGACTCGGAAGACCCGGATCAGGCAGTTCCAGTGCTGCATCTGCGCTACTCTGATGTAAGTCCACCTTTCATCCATTTCTATATTCCCGGTATTTTACAAGAACCTCGTCTAACGAGGAGAACCGTCAAAAAGGTTGGGAAATTTGGATATTGGTTGTTGGAATCTTTTCACTAATGTAGATATCGTAATTTGAATAGAAACTGGTTTATTTCTGCGTGTATAATTTGTCACTCGCTATGGTATATATTCGGCATCTCGGATTTTATGTACGGTTTATTGACAGACTTCAGATTATTATCTGCCATGTGTTCCGAGATGGTATCTGCACCTGGACGCTGTCAATCGGATGTCCGTATTAAGAGTTAGCGTCTGTGATTCTTCTTTATATAACCACGAGAGATTGTACTGCACGCGTGATGCAATGTTAACCAAAGAACGCGTGTAATCGATCACGACGCGGTAAACAGGCTAAGGAATCTTCGCTCGACGATACATCCTTAAATCGCGACATTTTCATCCTCTTAGGCGGCCATCAATTCGAATTCCCCTCGATCAATGTGAAACGAAGTTAACGAGAGTCGGATGCGCATCGGTCTTTCACGATACCGTATGATATCGCGGATAATCTAATTTTCCAAGTTAACCCTTTCACTCGAGACGATCTGGAAGACTTCCGAGCGCATCTTCGCCGCGGAACCCACACAAAGGAACGCTGTACGAGTTCGCCACCGGCACATCGACACGATTTCCATAGTTTCTCCGCAGAAGAAAAAATCATTGTGCACCGAGTCCCCACCGTAAGCGGATACTTACGTAAAATCATTGCTCACCTCGAACCACCAGGCAGACCGCCCCATCGTTTCAGTGCGACCGTGGCAGGAGACGTGTGCAAGCAGGGATGCCTTCCACGGAGAAGACTTCGCTGACCGGCGACAAACCAGCCAGGGTGTACTACGTGAACGAGTCGCTGCCATTTTATTCGCACCAGAGGAGACAATGGCTGCGGCTACGGTGTTTCCTGTACATGATCGCGGTGTGAGTGACAATGTCTTTGCATCGATCCTGTTGGCCTTGCCAGTGTTCTTGCGTTTCCCATTCGAGTCCCGTGGACTCGATTTTCCAATGGGGCAGTGTCGAAGAGTACGAAGTTTCGGTGTCATTGGTAACTTCTTGAAGTTACCAAGTCGAAGTAAAGTCAAAGAAAAGTCTTTCGACTTGTGATGTTCATTCTGTGCCTTCAAATCGTAGGATGCTTTTCGCGAGAATGATTAACCACGATGTTTTCGTCGGATTTTATGCTAGAGAAGTTTCTCCGTTAGAATAGGAACCTTCAGTTACGTCGAAACGAGAGTTTAAGAGAGATTCGTGTAATAACGAAACCTCTCGTGGTTATTTTCGTTGCGGTTTGGTCACGACAGTGCTCGAACACGAGTCCGCGACGTGTGTATCGCGTTGATAGATCGAATTCTATCCCGATCGTTGGAAACGATCGATATTCTAGTCCATTCGCGTGCGAATTTTCAGATACGCTCGTTGGAATTCATTTTCAATCGATAAAATGGCGGATAGTCCGTGGCCTTCCGTTGCCCGAGAACTGTCCCTGACGTCAGCTGACGAGTATTAAGAACAACGGCTCGCTATTATCGTATTTGTAGAGTAAAGCACCGTGTAATTCGTTTACGAAGAGCAAACAGTTTTGAGTGGAACATGGTGTCTTACGCGTAGGTTGATTAGCGATACGTGACGCTGGCCTTGATCACATGCATAATTGCATAGTGACGGTATGGTTGCCTGACGTTACAACAATATCAGCGGATTTTTACGATATATATTAATCGATTCTGCAGACATATTTCTATGATAAATTGTTAAAATGGAATTTTGCTTCCATATTTTTCGTACGTATTATATATACTTCGTAATTTGTAAACGAAGCCTAAGACTATTCGCATCATGTGTACATTTAAATCTTTTTCCAGAGCAATCTTCACGATGGCCCTCGTAGTGATGGTGAGCTACTCCGTGAACCACGATTTGATAGACAGCGCTCCGAACATCACGACCACTTCACCCGAGTCCACGAATCTCAGTACTGCTTTAAAACTGGGCTTCGCCCCTGGATCTGGCTCGTATACACTCTTCAGCAACCCCTTCGCCGTCCCGCCCTCTAACTCTGTCCTAGTGAGCAACAAAGGCACGAAAGCCTCCATGTCGAGGAAATTAACCAAAGAGGAGATAAAGGCAGGGCTGGAAGCAGGTCGCCAGGCGATCAACGAGCGTCTTTTCGCAGACGCGGCTGCGTCCATGTCTCCACTGCCCTTAGCTTTGCCGGAAGTTAGGCATCGTTACGCGGTGAGCACCTGCGCGAGCGTCGGGGCGCTGGCCTTAGCTGCTGTAGGGGAACTCGCAGCGACGAAGAGGATCGAGAACTCGAGGACCGACCTCGGAGCACCTTCTGCCTTTGGGAGCTTCTTCGAACTAGGCTGGGAACCTCTGGGCGTTTGCAAGCAGTTGCACATACCGGAGTGTCCGCTCACAAAGTACAGAACATTCGACGGAAGTTGCAACAGACCTATGCAGCAGGGAGCGAGCATGACACCTTTCAAAAGACTCCTACCGCCTAATTACGCTGATGGTATTGAGACACCGCGCAGAGCAGTCTCAGGGTCCGAGTTACCTTCAGCGAGAGACGTTAGTTTGAAGGTGCACAAGCCCTCGCCAAGCAGCAATCCTAACTTCACCGTGATGCTGGCTGTCTACGGTCAATTTCTGGACCACGATATCACGGCCACGGCCATCAGTCAGGGTTCCAATGGGACTTCCATCTCCTGTTGTCCCCCGTCTGCTGGCCATCCAGAATGTTTCCCTGTACCTGTATCCGACGGAGACCCTGTCTTCGACGTTGCTGGACGAACGTGCATGAACTTCGTCAGGTCCGCTCCGGCGCCCCAGTGTAAACTGGGTCCGAGGCAACAGTTGAATCAGGTGCGTATAGTCCGGTTCCGAAGGTTAATAGCTGTCTGCGTAAATCGAGTTTTTACAGTGAGTGTAAATCTTGGCGTATAATGAGCTCTCATTCAGGAACAATGGGACCGGTTGTCGCGGTAGTGGGCGCCATGAAATTACTGTCGGGATGAAAAATTCGCTGGAACAATACGCGACAGTAGTGCTGTTAATTAACTTCATTATCGTCGCGTCGATAGGGCGAGTTTCGATGGTAATGACGCATTCGTTATCTCCGCTAATAACGATTTTGCACAATGGCTAGCCGGACAATGGATACAAAATTACCTTGTTAAACACGCGTTCCCCGTGTCCCAAAGATGACAGCCCAAATGGACAGAGTAATGAATAATTTCTTCGCAGGTGTCCGCGTTCATAGACGGATCGGCGATTTACGGATCGGACCCGGACACTGCTCAAAGTCTACGCGAATTCGTCGGTGGTCGCCTGAGGATGCAGTTAACGCCGGACAATCGAACCCTATTACCACCCAGTACGAATCCCAACGACGGCTGTAACCGGGAAACCGAGAGGCTAAGAGGCAGGTACTGCTTCGCAGCTGGCGACGCCAGGGCAAACGAGAATCTGCACTTGACGACGATGCATCTGCTCTGGGCACGACAGCACAATAGGATCGCAGAGCAGCTAGCTAAGATCAACCCGTCCTGGAACGACGAGACTCTGTACGAAGAGTCTCGACGCATAGTAGGCGCTCAGTTGCAACACATCACCTATCAGGAGTTCATACCTATCATCTTGGGAAAGCAAGAAACGAACAAACGCGATCTTAGACCTCTGAAGTCTGGCTACAGGCAGTGGACGGTGGATGCGAACGTTTCGAGCACTGATCCCAGTATAGCTAACAGTTTCGCGACGGCTGCCTTCAGATTTGCTCACACTCTGTTACCTGGACTGATGAAAGTGACCAATGAGCAGGAAGGAACTTCTTCATACGTGGAGTTGCACAGAATGTTGTTCAATCCGTATAGTTTGTACTCAGAGGGTGGGGTGAAGAGCTCAGTGACATCTGCCACCAGGAACATGATCCAGATGACGACCACTCATGTCACTTCTCAGTTGACTAATCACCTGTTCGAAGATCCTATGGCTAATGTTTCGGTGCCCTGTGGGTTGGATTTGGTGTCGTTGAATATACAACGTGGAAGGGACCATGGACTTCCTGGGTATACCAAATGGAGGGAATATTGTGGTCTGGGAAAGACAGACAATTTTTCTGATCTGCAGGAGTATCTGGATCCGCAGGTTCTTCAAGATATTTCCCCGTTGTACGAGTCTGTCCACGATATCGACTTGTACACAGGTGCTTTGGCTGAGATACGTAAGGCTGGTGCTATCGTTGGGCCCACCTTCGCGTGTCTGATCGCTGATCAGTTTGTTGCACTACAAAGAGGGGACAGATTCTGGTACGAGATATCTGGACAGCCGCATTCGTTCACAGAAGGTAAGACGATTGTAGATTTTATTATAATAATTTTATTACGTTACACAGAACTCACATTCTCTTCTGGGGTGTTCTTTATTTCAAGAATTCGAAGAAGCAATCTTACGCGAACCTTTCACGATCTTTTATTTATTAAGTAAAACTTGTTCGTATCTAGACAGGATTATTATCGCCTCGCTAAATCTGATGATGCATGTACGACTATAATGCAATTCTTTAATACAAATAAGATGCAACGCAGATGTATCGAGTTATTTATTCATACGTTTTCACAGGCCACTTGTTTGCCATGTCAATGAGTGTCAGTTGTTTCTTCTTTCTTCTCTTCAGATCAGCTTACGGAGTTGCGTAAGACATCGCTAGCAAAGCTGATCTGCGACTCTTACGATGGAATAATTTCCGATGGAATCACGCAGATCCAGGCCGAGGTGATGAGAACGATAGGGCCAGAGAATCCTATGACATCCTGCGAGGACATCCCTACGTTGTCCTTTGAGCCATGGAGAGAAAGTGGACAGGCTTCCATGCTACGAGCTTCCATGCCAGTCAATTGGACCATGTTTAAGAACGACATTAACAACACGATTAAAGACGTTGTTGCTACCATCAATAGCTCTAGGTTTACAGTGGACACTGACTGGTTAGCCTTCAGGACTTATATAAACGACACGTTTGCTGACCTCAGGAACCAGCTATCTGACTTACATTCTCCAAAGACGTCGGATGTTTCTGTACCCAAGAAACTGTTAATTGACACTAACAGTTCTACTTCAAGAGCAACACGATTAGGGCACATGCATCAGGACTGGATTACATTTAAGAATGATCTGATGAAGTCTCTAAATACTTCTATCGGTGCGGTGGGTGGTGGACCAGCTGCAGTGACCAAGTGGGTAGCATTTAGACAAAATATCGTCAAGCAGTTCGCCGACTTGAGGGATCAAATCGCAGCCATGAAGGCAGATATTGCTCCAAAATTGGCAATGAAGAACGCGCAGGAGCAGGCTTCAATAGATCAAAGTAAATTAATGGATACCTCTAGCGTCAAGGATGTCATGATTCCTGCGATCTTTGATTGGAAGAACTTCAAGGATAACATGATATCTTCATTAGATGACACCATCAGTAACACGAGGAGCGATATGCCACCTCCTGGTGATCCTGCTTGGGCTACTTTTAGGAACGACATTAAGGATCAATATTCTGGTTTCAAGGACAAGATGGACAGTCAAAGATCTACTACAGTCCCTACTGAGTTGGCGACAGAGAAATCAGATGCAATTGACGACTATTGGTTGAATTACAAAACTGAGATCATCAAGTCCGTAAATAAAGCTGTGAATAAAATTAAAGACAGAATGCCTCCACCCGGTGATCCAGCCTGGATCACTTACAGGAACGAGGTAATGAAGACCTTCAAGAGCACCCTATCACATCCAGAACTCTCCACGTTGTCTGGCATAAATGAAAACATGGCCGTTCCAGGTGGGAGTTTAGCAGCTTCCTCAACAACCAAATTTACTAGCAATGATCTAACCAATCTGACCAACGATTGGTTAGAATTCCGAACTCGAATCAACGATTCCTTGAGCAAAGTGATCCAAGACATCCAGAGCAAAAAGCCAACAGAGGTTGATCCTATTGCTTGGGTTGCTTTTAAGCATTCTGCTGCAAATGATTTCGCGAAGCTGAAAAACGAAATTGAGAGCATGAGAACCGAATGGTTGGCAGAAATAAGCAAATCGAAACCTAGCAAAGAGTCGTTGAATCTTCAGACAGGGATGAAGAAACCTGGAGACTCATCCACGTTCGATTACACGAAATACATGAAACCTGTCATTTCTCCAGATGATTGGACCGATTTTAAGAAACAGATCAACGATACCGTGATGAATATCCTGAATACTGCAAACTCCACGGGCAAGTTTACTTTTGACGAGCTTCACAAGGCGTTCAACGAGTCTTTCACAGATCTGAAAAATGAAATATCGTCATTGAGGACTCTGATCGCGGATACTTACAATAACAAGACAGCGGCAGATTGGATCAGCTTCCAAGCCCAGTTGAACAGCACAGTGAGAGATCTGGTGGACGGTTCAAAGAGCGAGGATCGGGAGAATGTGACGAGGATATTGCTGCAGACCAAAGACAAGCTATCCGATCTTCAACCTCCGACGAATTCTCCCACGCTGACGCCCACGGAGTGGATTCAGTACGCCTTCAGGGTGAACAAGACGATCTCGGATACCCTAAACGATGTCAACATGCAGAAGCATGCAGCACTGATGATGAGGGCTACTGAACCGGCGTTATCGTCATCAGATGACCCCAAGAAGTTCACCGATTGGTTAATCGTTCCTTGTCTCGCAGGCTCGTTCCATGTGTTCACTATGGCATCAAGGTTCCAAATTCGCGTGTAAAGAAATTACAAATCCTTTTTTATAGTAACACGTATTGTATATATTCTATTATTTATAGAGACGAACTTTTATTATATATTAATCAAGTATAACAGGAGAAGAAAGAAAAGTGAAAGTGTCGTTGAAGCTGTCATTCCTTTACCAAGGCCTGTTGCTTAAACACTGGTTCTAATTAATTAATAACAACAATAATAACAACGATTAATAGGAAACTCATGCAGAGAGACTTAATAGCAGGGCAGTGCCTCTCTTCACCCAGAAATCCGGACCCTCTGTACCCGCGTTTAAGTCGACCGCCACTACGAACGAGGGTCGTCCTTGATCCCCGCTTCTTTGAGGATAATAGTAGCAGGGGCAGGTGTAGAGACCTGTGCACAGAAATTGAAAGAAAGACGAATGTCTCTTTCCCGGCACGGTGGACAATATTTTTCATGCGTTATCGTTACCTCTGGTTCTCTTCTTGAGCTGTTCCGCAGGCCGGAAGTGAATCACTGGCATGTTGCAAACAAGTTGCATGGGGGTCGGCTCGACGAGGACACTGTTCCTCTTGTCCCAGCCAGCGCCTTCCAGAAAGATGGAGCGTATGTACACGCCGTCCTGTAATGGAATGTACACACGGTTAGAGGCGGGCACACACGCCGCCGTTTTCTAGCGATATCGCGACGCTGAATTCTTTATCCCCCCTTATTTTTCCGCGGCTCGTTTCCTCGTTGCATTGAAGGCAGGTCTAGACGACGTTGGCAACGAGAATAATTGGATTGATTTCCGTCGTGTACGCCCGCGTTTGCATGCCTTGTTTCCGGGTGGAAAAAGGTAACAAAAGGATTTCGTATCGACTGCTACGAGTAATTTCCGACAGACGTGATTTTATCATGGGCTAACAACGCTACGTCGACGGAAGTGATCGGTGAATTTATATTCTTCGGCTTTTCGAAGTCGAATTGTTGAAAGGAAGCTTAATATAGTTAGATGTTGTACGTTTTCAAAGTAATTTTCATTTTCATTCCATAGCAAGTAATTTTCATTCCATCGACGAGGCGTTAACTTGGACCCAGGGTGTCATAGATTGGTGTCTTAGATCGGTGTCTTAGACTGGCAAATATAAACTGTGTTACACGCAGCGTAGAGGATCCCTGGTATCAAAGTCTCGAGTTACCATTGGTGGCTCGATTATGGTCGATTCGTCGATCGTAAAAACGGTGAATTCCCAAGACAGGGAATCGATAGACACGTTCCAGAGCCTGGCGGATGTCTGCAATACCGCGGTAAGGAAGCCGGTGGGGAAGGTGTACGCGGCCAGCCAGAACAGCAACGGTGGATGAGTAGTTTGAGCCCATTCATTGAAGTGTTCCACCCTGCTGACTAAATCCCTCGTCCAGGCACCCAACAGCTTCAACGAGGGATACGCTGTCAGCCAGAACGAGGGGACCCGTCCTTCGTATACACAGTTGAAGATTTCCTCCAGGTCCGGAGACATCAGCACCAATCCTTTGATGGCCCGTTGAAGATCCTTCAAGCTGCTGCGTGTTTTCCGCAGTAGCACGTTGTAACGTTGTATTTCCTGAAGCAACACCACGTCCAACGGCGTTTTCTTGTCACCTATCAGCTTTACAGTGACATCGTAATCGATGTCGTTCGGTATCCTCGACAGTATGTCCACGGTTAATTGGATGACCTTGGGAAATAAAAGGTCCCGTTTATTTACTTCTCAACGATCGATTATATGCATTAGGAGTATGCAAAGTACCTTCTCCTCTTTGGTGGTTTCTTCCTTGGTAACAGCCTGAACTTGAAGTCCCATCAGTGTCTCGAACATGTTCCTGGTTTCCATGATTAAGCAGGTGATGTCCGCGTTCGGGTGTTGACCGAATGCTTCCGGTTTGTCGACGCTTGGTAGGACCGCGATGTAATCCTGGTAGGAGGCCAACGAACCGTCCCTCGGTATGTAATAGGTTGGTAGCGATGACAAACGATAATTAGGCACAGTCAGGGCCTCCTCGGTGAAATATTGTTGAACGTACGTCATTAACAACCTGCGGTCCCAGTCGTCGGTCACGTGGCCGCCATAACAGACACCCGCTATGAGATACTTCAAGGATTCCCATGGAGTCACCGGGTATTCGTCAAGATAGACTTGCAAGAGGTTCTCGGACACCTATTCGAGAGGAAGACTCGATGTTTCCATTTCGTTTTACATCCCTGGTTTAGCACGTTTCGAAGTGGAAGGTTCGAAAAGGATCAAAAACACGAAGCGTTGGCACGAAACGGGGCAGAAAGACCAAGTTTCCCGAATATCGTTGCCGAGATATTTCGGCCTTGCTTCAATCGTGACTAGTTGACGAAATTACCACAAAGTCGGAGTCGTTGAAGCTGTAGACGACGTTCCAGCCCAATTGCTGGAACTTTTTACGCTCGAGTAGAACAGCATGGAAGAATACCAGGGCGAAGAGAAGCTTCTTGTATTTGGTCTTTGCTTGGCACAGCTCGAACTGGGTCTCGGTTATCAAGCTGTAAAGCCGTTTCATGTTTGCCTTCAAACCTTTCGGCGGTTCCGTGGTCATCTTTATCCCCGCCTGGAGGATCGATATAGGGAACTGGGGAGTCGGGCTTGAGCTAAGCCACAATCTGCAATTGGCCGAAACCCCTTTCATTATCGGCTCACGCAGCGTCTACAATCGCAGGCTAACCTGAATTGTGGATGTATGGTTCTGCTGGCCCCTAAGGTCTCCACGATCTTGTCCAATTTTGGCATCCAACTGAGCGACAAATGACAATTCGCGAGGAACACCCAGGCTCCCTCCTTCGCACCTACCTCTATCATTCTGAAATACAAACATGACTTCAAGAAACGTAATGCTTAATGATATTTCCAATCGATCCCTCTAGAAGAGGTCCAAAGAGGTTAGGGTGGTTTTCTCAATTTGCATTTTACGTAAAGCCGACCTAGTGGCAATGGGTGCCTGTCCCTGACCCAGAGACAGGGTCATAAAGTGGTTAGTCATTTCCTGGCTGTCGACTAGTTGCATCAGGGTGCTTGTAGGATCAACGCCAGTCGAAAGGACGAATATTAGCGGAGTTTGTGCGACGGAGTCGTCGAGGACCGCCTTCAGGTCGAGTACCGGTGGCTCGACGAATCTCTGGCCAAGATTCAGCATGATGAAGTTCGCGATGCAAAAGGAAATCCTGTCTGGACGACAGCTACGTATCACCAGCATCTTCTGAAACACGGTGCAATTCGTCTCCCATTCCGCTACCAGGGGTGTGTGCTCTGGTTCCGTGCTGATATACCTAAACACCATACGGTGTAACAAACACGGTGCAAACGTTATTCCTTATCCCATAACGACTCCTAAAACAATAATTCCCGTGAACACGTACCAATTGTGCCAATCTCGTGGAAACTGTTCAAGCGAAGAAACGATCCCGTGAAATCCAGCTAGCTTGTCCAGCTCCGTGATATTATCCCAGGTTTCGTCTGGCATCCAGGCTACCGGTTTATCTGGCTGATTCTCTTTATCCAGAACGATTCCACCCCGTAGTAGGAACGCGTACTCGCTAGGAATTATCTTGTCCTGAGCGTCCAGGATTTTCATACACATGTTGAACGAGAATAGCAACTTGTGTTGCTCGAACAGGCCCCGACAGGTGTTCCTGATAGGGAGGGTATCTTTGAACGACATAACGTATGATAAAAAGAACAGACTGACGGTGTCAGGCGAGCCAGCACGTACTTGTACAACGCGTAAGTGTGATATTCGTTCAGGCTGTCGATTCTCTCGGCGAGCTTTAAGCTTCTCGCGCTCTTCTCGATCGACAGCATAAACAAAGTAATGTATGCGTCCAGGGCGAATTGGTACATCGGATCGATAAGGCTCATGTCGTTCAGAACGAAGAAGAGTATCGCGGCGCGATGCGCGCACGGCCTGTACTCCTCTCTGGCTAGATCTATCTCCTTCTCAGTTTGCTCAGAGACCACCAGCGACTCCTCGATCGAGCTCGAGGTAGCCTTCGACGACTGCAGGGTGCTCAGCAAATCCAGATCGTCCAGCAGAGTGTCTCCAGCCACGTTCAGTAAACTGCATGAAACCACGGGACACGTGAATCCCTTGTGTTTCTTCCACTCTCTGCGTTACGTGTGCTGCTTCCCCTATTATTATCATGTTTCGCGAAAATCTAGGAAGCTTGGGCATATCTTACTGGAGTATTTTGTCCTCGAGCTCTTTGAGGGTTCGTTTATTGGACGCGATCGTGAAGACCAGATTGTCCTTCTGTTCTTCGAGCTGCGGCTTCTCTTTTCTGACCACGATTCCCAAGAGTTGGGCTTCCAGTCCTGCGCACAGGATAATAAGGTTCCAGAGTTTGTCCCTGACTCCTCTGTCCGCCTCTTTCTCCTTTCCTCGATCCGCTTTACCCTGCTCTCTCTCTTTCTCTCTCGCTCTCTCTCTCTACCCTTTTCTAACCGACGCACGATAAGACAATTAGTTACCCTGTTCCTTAATGGCGAAGTTGCATAACGTCGTTTTAGTGGATATCTCCGGGGCGTAATGGGGGTTCGCGAGTTTCGTCGTGATGAACAGCCGGAACTTGTCGTGGTAGCTGATCATCTTTTCGTTGAACTTGATCATCAGTTGGTTTTCTGCTCGACACACCGTGTCACGATTTAATTTCCATTTAGCCTCATCGATGCTGGTTTCGTCCAATACCGAGACATTTACGTACCTACTTTCACCAACGCTCGTTCAAGGATGGGGTTTAACACCGGATCGAGCACCTCGCCGATGTTTTCTAGGAGAACCGGTTTGCCAAACTGGATCGCGTATTCAAGCACCCTGACGAAATCTGCTTGTCCAAAATCGATCACTCTCAGCGACTGTGAAATTGAGGAAATGTTTAAGACCGGAGCTTTTCATCGGTCGAGATTCTTCTTCGATTAATTCGGTTTTCTTACTGAAATCGAGGATACGTACGTTCCCAGCCTCCATATTCTTGATCCATTTCACTGCCTGACACTGTGGGTCGATCACCAACGGCCATCTTGTTCCTCTAGTCACGATGATTCCATTCTCAGTGCTGAAGTCATCCGAAGGTAGCCCCTGTATGTTCCAGTCCCTGATGATTGCGGGATTGACTAAGAACTCTTTCAAGTCGAGGTTCGGTGACATTGGGATTTCCTTGCTCGCCACCTTTAATTTTATTCAGACTATTATTTATGCAATATTTATATAGTATGTATATAAAATTATGGAACCTTGGGTAATACATGGAAATACAGAGCTAAGCTTGTATAAATTTTAATCTCCTATCAAAGAAATACAACACATATCTGAGCGATCTAGATATTCGTGCAATCTGATCCCGAAGGAACGCAAACGAAAGGTTTTGCCAGCTTCTGGAGAAAAACGGTTCTCCCGACACATTCGCGAATTACGATGATTACCCTGGACCAAAACGACCGAATCAGCTAGCTCACCTCTTTCATCCACATGCTTATCAGTTCCTCCCTGTAATTGGATACGAACGGGCCCAAATAGGACACAAAGGCGGTGGATATTAGGCAATCACCTGGCAACCAGTCGAAGAACTCAGCCAACGATGCGACGGTTTTCTCCCATCGGATTCTCTCGTCCGAGAGACCGTCGACCAGCATCGCGGCCCGTTCCAGTTTCAGCTTCAATAGTTCCGCCTGAAAACACGCGGAACTGTAAGTGGAATCGAGTCAGCATAGTTGAAATTTAGTCGCTGGATCGTTCGCGTAAATCCCATCGACCGGTTTTCGTTGGGACATCCGATCGGAATATACAAGATCGTCGAGATTATTTAATTGGGAAAGAAATTTAAACGGGAATCGCGGTGAACCGAGATTTCATCGATCCGGAGAGCGAAGAGTTAGACTTCTTAGAGTCGATCTTCGATTATGACGAAACTGGAAGTTTTAGGATCGGAAGGTGAGCCAAAAATTTAGGCTGAATGTAGCTCATGCAAACTCGCAATTCCACTAAGTCAGTAGTACTATCCAGCCTTTAACACGTTAAACGCCACATCGGTTTTACGTTCGTGTCACAGTTAGCCGTCATACGGCCCCGTACGGACCGGTGAGGCCCGAACGGAAAGTCTAGTGCCTGTCCCTAGAGGGCGTGGCGTTTAACGCGTTAAATAGCAAGCAAACGAAACTTTCCGCTGTTGCGAAAATCCGCGCAAGTAGAACTGCATGAAACCGACTGGCCAATTCACGTGCACGCAGTTTCATTTTCGACCACGAGGTTCAAAACGGATTATTCTCTTCACTTGCCAGCTTGATTAATTCTTCCTTCTCTTTCATCTTCGCGTCGTACATCTCTTGAAACTTCTGCAGCTTCTCATGCAGCTTCTGCAACTGTTGCATCGCGTCTGTCAGAGCCTTCTCCTTGTCTCTCAGAGACTTCAGCGCAGCCTGCAATTTTTCTCTCTTCGGCGCCACGACTCTGCGATTTCAATAAAGAGGTCTCAGCTAACCCCGTGCAATTTCTTCCGGTTGCTCCGCTGGAACGAGGAACCGAGAAAGGATTCGAGCTTCCTCGGTTCTCCTTCATGACGTTCGTCTTCGCGAGAGTCACCTGTAAAGCTTCCCGTATTTTTCCATGGCGATGACCCATATGCACAGCGACATGGCTGCCACCGACACCATGCCCACCTTCTCCGGCTCGAACTCCGGGTTCGACGTGTACTTGGAAATAGCTCTGAGCGTCCTATCCGAGATGTTGTCTTTGTCAAAGTCCCGCAGCTGAAAATCCATAGACACGGTACACCGGGTGAAATTTTACTCGGTCAGAGGGTAGCGCGCTTTCGTATCGTCGATCTGTGCTCTGCCATACCGTGTTCAGGAAGTTCACGTCGGCGAGCTGACGCTTCGACTCCGCCCAGCTTGGCTCCGAGGTCTTCAGGATCATCACTGCCTCCATCACCATCTCGACTTTCGGTGGCGGACGCGTGAAAGACCGTATCTCCGAGATGTCCTTCTTGCTGAGCGCATCCAGAGCCTGTGTCGTGGATAACAATTGATAGGGTGAGATACGGGGGCTGTTCGCCAGTTCGAGGCCGATAAATTGGACTATACATATGGATGAATGTGAAATCGAAGGAGAGATTTCGTACATGCCGTGATCACGAGGGTAAACGGGAACAATCGATAGCTTTATCACTGCCCTATATGCATAATAAAAAATTAACCCTTCGCAGGAACTTTGGTCTTTCGACAGATTTATTATATTGACCCATTCTCCGGTTAACATGTATCAAAAATGAAATTTTACAGTTTCGCAAAGCGGTCAAAGGAATATATTAAATTGGTCGCGATCGATCGGATGGCAAACCGTTCAACCTGCGCTGTATTTTAACAACGAATATTCGAAAACAAACATTCTCGTCGGGATTCTATATCTTGGTCAGATAGATGGGAGCTTATTATCTTTTTTCACGATCGATTAGACGTCGAACATCGTCGCCGTATTTTCGTCGGGATTTTTCTTAACAAAGCGGTCCACGGAACGAATTTATGTAACACGTCCGGTGTTACTGTCGTCCATAAAATCTGCCGGCGAACTTTGGCCGGGAACTTTTTCGGACGGCGTGCATAAAACGCGAAGTTGAAGGAGCCGACCGGTCGTCGCGAACAGGGAGAAGTTGGACGCCCCGGCCGCAAATAATAAAGACGTATATCGGCTCGCGATCGAGAGTTCCCTATTTCAACGAAAATTCCATGCCTGACACCGTTCCAAGCGCTTAATCACGAGCAGCAAACGAACCGGAACGGTATTACTGGGCGATGGAAGAATTAGTGTCAGGGATGGTACCTTCATGGCCTCGTTCAACGCTGGTTCAACAGTTGCGAGGTCAGCTCGAGCGATTTCCTCGAGCTTCTTGCACTCCTTTTGTTCCTCCCCGATCCGCTGCGATCGAGCGGCCACCGTCTTCTGTGTCTCGTCTGCGTCTCGACTCTGGTTTACTGGAAAATCATTCGAAAATTAGGCTATTGAACGATTACGTATCTCTTAGCTTAATGTCACAATTATCATGGATGAACAAGATAGAATTCTAATCAATTGACAGTTGTTGGGACGAGAAGCTTGATATCGTGATTCTTGACATATAAAAGCTAAGGTCCACGTGTTTTTGACAGTTTGAAATTATATTTTTAAATTTAATATACCCTGTGTTAGGGGATAAAGATATATCTGTAATGAATTGTAAGTGAGAGGAAATTTTAGCTCCCTACTAAAGGGGCAAGGTTACTCTGTTAAGATCTGTCAACGTTTTGACTGTCACGTTGGTCATATATGACAGGACACAGCTTCTCCTCTGACGCCACGATGGTCGTTGGTAACCAGAGCGCATGAACTACTTACAATTATCGAAATTAAATGAAAATTGACAGTTTATTGCATTTGAATAGAACCGAAAGCGTCATGGTGGTCACCCGTGACTGTCAATAAGATAAACGCTGCATTAGGTAAGAATGTTGTCTTATATCACCAATTAATTATTATTCTGCCATTATATGCCTTGAATAATAAAAATACTCCTGTGGCATCCAGAGCGAAATACGTGATTTCGGCGTGGCAGTCAAAGAGTTAACCTCTGCATTAACATCTGTTCTATGTACGCTATGAGCCGCGGGTCAAGTTCGTGGTAACTTTCGGTGGATCGATCTAATTGCACCCAATGACGATACATCAGCGTTAGAGGATGACGCGCACCTATCGTTACCAGAAACTCTTCGCATTCCCTGGTAGATTTATGAACCTGCTCCTGTGTGACTTCCAGTTCCGCAGCCATTTCGTTCACTTTAACGCGGGTGTCGTCGATCTTCGAGAGACCGTTGCGAAGTTTGTTCGCCTGGCTGGCCAAATCCTGCCTCTTCTCCGCCAGCATTCTGAAACCATAAGGACCATCGAACTGACGCGTCGTTTACCTCTTCTCGCTCTCCTTTCCAAACTATTCCCGATCTTTATGCTGCTTCGTTAATCCCCCTTCCGAGAAGAATACCTTCTCCTCGGAGAGGATTTGACATCGGCTAGCCGGAATAATTTAAGCGATAAAGCTAGAGATACACGGTGCACGTAGATTTCTGAGGAAAATCTGCGTCTAATTGCGAGAGAAGCGTCAGACAGTTCTTACAAAGGCTCGTCTAAACAGGAGCAAATTGCAGGTAGTTTCTCCCGACAGAGGGCTGTGCGAATTTTTCAAGAAAAACCCTCGCGAACGGGATCTCTGGCCGGGAACTTTAGCAGAGACTCACATTTTATAGCCTGCAACCAGTTCAAGGAAATTCACCGGCGTCACGTAATTGTAGCGCTTCATCTCCGCGGCCATTCTGCTGGAAAACTGTGATACTGTCTCGTGGATCAGAGAGAAGGTCGCCGCAATTCCGTCCCGCATTCGTTCCTGCAGCGGCGGCAGAGGTATCGCTGTAGCCGACTGTCGTGGTTCCTGCAAAGCAGTGTCAGTCAGGAAAAGAACCTCGTACGTTGGGCATCAAGACTCATTTAACGCCGCGATCACGCGCACGTGCATGGAAATAAATATTCTCGCAGGTATGCAAATACTCGAGGCGAAGCAGGTAGATGCAGGCCCTGCACGAGGAGAAATAAAAACGGTAGGGAAAAGAGGAAACGGAGGAGAAAGCTCCGACCCCTGTCGCCGGTGTTGGAGAGGCAAAGCTCTCGAGATGTTGGAGCAGCTGAAGCACGATACGCGATCGAGGCAAATTCGAAAATATTAAGCGCCTGATCGCCGGAAACGCTCGGACGATTGCATTCCGGAAGGAACCTCGCCAGACGGAGCGAGGGCAAGCCGTCGAGAGGAAAATAATCGGATTTCACGAAATAGAGAGGGCGAGGATGTGGTTCACCCTTCCTCCGTCTCTCCATATCTCGCTCTTTCTCTCCCACATAGAACCGTGTCTCGATTCCGGAGGAATCGGAATCGAATGGAATCGATCGGCCGGAAAGGGGCGGTAGAAGGCGCAGCCGAAGACCAACCGCTTTATTTTCGCCGGTGATAGTGAGCGTCAGATTGAGATTCATGAGGAACTTGTTGCCAACTTCGAGGAGAGCTTCCCTCGGCCATTCCAGGAACCAATCGATGGTCGTGCAGTTGATCAGGCCCGGGTACTGGCGTAATCTGTTCCTGAACGCGTCGCCGATCGGGCTCATGCACACCACCAAGTGCATATTGGCACGCGCCCTCTCGATCAACAGCGAATAGATAGCTTCTGTTGTTGGTATGCGTCCAGCACGCGTAGCCTCCTTTGTCAGCCTCTTTTTAATCTGGTTCAGAGAACAGGTTGAATTTATATACCAGTCTCGCCCTAGATCTTTGATCAAGGGATATGGACTTGCTAGATTGGATCGAAGGAGAGGGGTAAGGGATGAAATTCGAAGCTTGACTTACCTCCTCCAGTTCTTCGCTCTTGTATAGATTAGTCACCTCTCCCGTGCTCAGTATGCTGTTGACAATCTCTAGGAATTGTTCCTCGATAACCTGGGTGTCGTTGAAGAGGAAAGTGGTGGGCCTATTGTCAACTCCTGTTTTCAGGTACAGAGACTTTAAGTCTTCGCGGAACTCGGGTAGTCTGTAGCTTTTCGTGACAGAGATCTGGAAGGTGGTCAGCTCGCACATATAGCTGGCAATACGTGACAGTGATTGCCTTCCGCTTCCCCCAATTCCTATCAGCAGCATGTTGCCACGAGGCTATCATGGTAATTTTATATTATGCTTCGTTCTGTCATCCTTTTTGATATCTTAACCCTTTGACTGCCATGCTGAAATCATATATCTTCCTTATGGCGCCACTTTCAAAGTATCTTCTAATTAGAGGTTATATTCAAAATGCGCTAACTGTTAATTTTCATTCAACGTAGTTCAATACAATTCAGGTAGTTTAAGCGCTTTGGTCACTAATGACTACCGTGGCGTCACAGGAGAAACCGTGGTCATGTATGACCAACGTGGCGGTCAAAGCGTCTCTGAAAACGGAGGTTGCGAGCTGTCCACGATCGTGGAAGGTACTTACCTGAGAGATCACTCGAACTATGCGACAAATGTGTTCGACCGCGTCACGGAAAAGTATTAAATTCAGTCGAACGACCCCACTGGACGCGTTATATTCGTCCATTTGCCTCTCTATGTAAGTCCTTACGGCACCAATGTCGGTGAGATCTTCGTATATGTCCCAAACGTTCATGAAACTACCTGCGAGTGCCGTGGATTAAGTCTGGATTAGATTCCGGTTACATTCGAATAAACTGAGTCAGGTTTAGACCGAGTTAGACCTGGATTACACCGACTGGGGCTTAAATCGCGCTCAGATTAGGCCCAACTCGGGGATACGACGTCTTTCTTCTTAATCCAACTTACCGAACAGGGGACATCTTTTTTCCGGGCAAATATTGTGGAAAGTCAGCTCGAAATGCTTCCCGAGTTGTTCACCAATTTGATTTACGAACCAATCTCTGTCCCTGTAGAAGAAGACACCTTTTTGAGTCAGGGTATGAGGAAATTTTTGCAAGGATTTTGCGAAATATCGTTACTTTTCGTCTATCAGTCGATCGCAGAAGACACGGAAGGCTTCGTGCACCCATAGACGAAGGAAGGTTTGCCTGGAAAACTGGTAGTCCTTGTGACTCCGTAGCAGTCCTTGGAAGACCTGTTTGATAAAGACGAAGAACATGTAGCCATCGGAAAAATGCAGATTCGAGAGATTGCTTCTACCTTCGATATGTCCCTCAGGTTGAACAGATAGTGCATTTTCGCAGGGGTTGGCAGCATCTTGCGGATGACGTTGTTGTACAAACCGATGGTGGACAGTGTTATCTCGTTGACTAATTAAACAATAATAATTCAATTGACTAATAATTCGATTTGTCATTTACGACATACTTCGATGAACAATTTCGGCCATTTTGTCCATCACTCACATATTCCCTTCACTTCCGCGTGGAAGTCACTGAAATGCTGATTCAACATCGATCCATATATCCTCACGATCTGCTTCTCGGCCGGGAACGTCACGTTAATGACGTTAAACTTCGTGAGCAGGCGATTCGTAATAACGTTTCGCCCTCCACCTGGGGGACCCATGGCCGCCATTAGTTGCAGCTTCTGTATAATCCTCCGCGTTTGATTTTCTCGATCGTACCTTCATAAATCCACCGAGTAATCAGAGATAGGGTATAGGAAAAGAAAATTGACAGACAGTACCAGAAACCGTATCCAATCCATTGTCGAATTAATTCCAACGGTGGCTGGGATCCGTATATCTCTTTCATAGGCATATTGAAGTCGTCCATAAACGCTATCAGGGTTTTACCTCCCACAGGGACGTACACACCCTTGGTACGTTTCTCTAGCCTGCCTTCCAGCGCATCCTAAAACACGCGCAACTTGCTCAACTTGTCCCGATGCAAATGCTCCGTTTGCATTCCTTAACGAGTCAATCTTCCGCTAGAAACCCGGGCTCACCTGTACGTTCTTCGAGGTAGTCTGAGCGGACATATTCAGCGTCAGCACGCTATACCTCTCCTCGTCTAGGGAATTCAGCACTGACTGGAGCATCGATGTCTTTCCTGTGCCTACGGGACCCAGCAGGAGCACAGGGTATTGGTTCTTCAGCAGAGCGCTCACGATGAACTCGTATCTAACAGTGTCCACTGTAGGCACGATTATCTTGTAGAAGGGTGTGCTGAAGTTTCAAATTATTATTGAATTTTTCACGTGACTCATTTCTATTTTTCCCGGGAGAATTAAGCATGACAAAAGGGAATCCTTCGAATAGGGTACAGCGCTATACAGAGTATACGTAGTACTATATACGTTATAATGTATATATGTATATAGAGTACTATGTACTCTACACACTGTACTATACTCTGTATAGCTTGAAAATAAATGCGAGAATAAAAATTGGAAAGGTGGCAGTGAAAATTGATAGAATAAAAATTTTCCAATGGTACTTGGGTTGAATTCGCCACACTGAAGGCAATCTCTCTTCCCAGGAAACGAACGTTCGTAATCGTGAGTCGACGAAGTATTCGTATACGGTATCTCGCAATGGGAACGTGCCTTCGACCTCTCGTATGAAATTGTCCACTTTGAAGCGACCCTCCTCGTTGACCGACGCACAAATAGACCATATCAAGCTGATAAAATATTAAGTCGATAAAATTGTAGAAAAATTGCCCTCTGGATGGAAGGTTTAATCTTCTTTTTTTGTCCCTTTGGATCGTACCAGAAGAAGAACCACATTCTGCAAATATTGGCGAACATGTCCACATCTCCCGTGAACTCAACCCCATTTTCAGGGGTAGCGAGCACTTCCAGAAGCTTGCACAACGATTGAACGGCGTTTAATTCGGGAACTGGGACAAGTTCCTGGCATTTTCGTCGTTTAAACTGCAGACTGGCGTCCACGTGGGAATGGAACAGTCTACTCATCTGTGTCACGCATTATTTTACCAACAGGGTTAACCTGTATATCGGTAAACACGGGTTTGAATCGTCGAATTTACCTCTTCCACGAATTCCGTATTTTTCTGGTACTTCTGCAGCCAGCTGTTCACGTAAGGTTTCCAACCGAGATCCTTGTAGTCGTTGTACACCATCCCTGCCCGCGAAACCGTGGCCGGAGAGGCGACAGCTAGGTCCTTCACCTCGAACAGCAACGACACCTGATCTGGCATCGTGATTCGGTCGTTGTTTATCAGAGTCAAAACCTGCGGGATAGATGTACGTATCGATCAAAAGCGAAATCTCTTCGGGGGGAAGAAAATCCTTGAGTCAGAGATTTCAGGGAAAACAAGAGGAATGGAGGAAATCCAAAGTCGGGAGGAAATTGAACACCGAAGCTGGAAACTTGGGGGGAAATTTAAAGCCGTGGAAAGAAAACCCAAGGTAGAAGGTATTCGTGATTCCGAAAAATCGAACATCCAATAGTCACAGGAGCGTTTGCAGAGGTCCGTGCTCCGAGATCTCGCCGTTTCTCTCAAAATTAATAAATCCCTGAGAATCCGTGAGAATGAAATCTCGAATCTTGCAGAAAATGGAGCTACCTTGTTATCGTCCATTACACTGTTCATGTTCTCGATCCAGTCAGCGTCCACCGGTCCGTCAAAGAGGATCCATTTCACGTCAGGGCTATCGTCTGTCAAAAATAACGAAGCCTGTCAACTTTGCTCGTTTTGCATGGGCAAACTGGGACAGTACCTGAACAGGTTTTTCGCATGATGGAGGATATGACACCGTCGTGCCATTCGCCGGTGCTAAGATTGTACTCTCCGTAAAGTTCAGCGAGGTCCAACGCCTTTGGATTAATGGGGTAGACGTGAACGGCGGCGAAGCCTGGCTTCTTGTCGTTCTTCATAGTCGTCATCGTGTTCTGCAGCACCTTCCATGTAACCGTCTTCGCTGTGTTCGACTCGCCCACTATCATCGTCGAGTGCCTCGAATTCATCGTCTCGTACAGCTCGATAACTTTCGTCAGTATCAAGGGAATAGGCTGTAAACAACGTTAGCCGAGTAAACTGGCGCACTTCCGGAAGTTCGCGCAGCCGGCTGGATTGCTATGCTAATGGCGTCTGAAGGCGATCGGTTGAAATTCGGATCGAAATTCTGACGAAAATTCCCATCGAATAGAAACGATTTCCACCCATTCCGAGCGCAGCATGATCGAATTACGACCAGCCGGTGGATTATCAGCGAACAACATGCGAGCAGTAAAATTCGCCATTTTACGACCGCGTTATTTCCGCCGATCGATGCGCCTTTTATTAAAAAGGATGCGCCAGCGAGGATCGAGGCCTCGTAGCTTGCTGGTCTCGTTCGATTATGGAGGCTGTCGCGAGATTACCTGCAGCTTCAGCTTGATGGCCTCCTTGGTTATGTAACCGATAATTTCCTCGTAATCCACCGACGGCACCTCGACGTCCGGAAAGAGATCGCCGGTGATACCGAGGAACAGCGGCAAGTCGTCCGAGGTGAGCTTAGCGATGTTCATATCCTTCATGGCGAGGATGATCACCTGAGCGCGTTTCAACAGACTTTCATCGTTTGCCCCTTTTACCGATCACGTAACGTTTAATGCCGGATCGCACGATCGGGCCACGTTGATCGCGGTAAAGCGATCGGATGGAACGTAGTCGCGTAAGCTGTATCCCGAGGCTATTGTGACGGCGAGGTGACAGAGCAGAAACTAGGTTTAGAGAGCGGAGTACAAACAAGATGGAGGAAGAATGGCGGAGAAAAGGGATAAAGGATGAAGATTGGCCGTAAGGTTAAAGACTTGGGCGGTCGCGATGATGGAAGATTGGATTTTATAGGTTCGACAGTGTTGTTGTCATAGAGAAAATTTGAATGGAGGAGGAAGGAGTTACCTCTTCGTCAGGCAGATCTGGATAGAGCCTCTTCTTCTTTCCCGCGTACCTGGTCAAGGTCACTATACCTCTCAGCCCGAAGTCGTAGTGATACTGCTTGCTTAATTGCTGCTGTGCCAACGTGTACAAGGTGAACACCTGTAAGAGAGGAAGCATGAGAGGGGAACAGGGTGGTTAGACGTGTCATAGAAGGATGTAATTCCTGATGGTACTGACCTTTCTGGCGAGCACTCGCGTTTGTTCGAATCCTTCGCAGAACAAATTGATCTCTGCGATCATGCTGCTGTCTGGCACCATCATCGAGATTGGTCTGAACATGGATTTCAGATTATCGGGCAGCTCGGTGCGGCCCGCGTAGCCCGGATTCATCGTGATGAAGATGCCGCAGGTGTGCACCAACGATATTTCACAGCCCTCGAACACGAATCTCGTGAGCTTTTGCGAGAGAGCGGTCAGTATTGACAGTATCTGCTGCGCCACCACCGATAAGACCTCGATGTTTATGCTGCCGTTTGAGGAAATAAATTCGATTGGTCGACTCCATAATTTTTGCCGCACGCTTCCACGAGATTCCTAGCTCTGGGTTATCCCACGAACATCTACGAGCTTTCTGTCAATCGATTCGAAACTTACGATGACAGCTATAGTTAAAATTACCACGATTTCATCTTTGTTCGAGAAACAAAATAAATTTCGTGTCAGGTACGTACACATCGGAATAATTGAGACATTTATATTTAAGAAATTAGAAATTTAGAAATGGCTTTGACAGGACACGAAATAATTTCAACCGAGATATACTTGACACGACTATGATTGACCTTAAAGTGACCTGGAATGGCCTAGAACGACTTGACAATTGTTCTTCCTGATGCAACTTTGACTTTGAAGACAACCTTAAGTGTCCTTGGCCAGTATCGAAGCAACTTAGTGTCAATAGTCTTTCACGTAATTACGTTCTCCCGGAGGACAATGCTTGAAACGTGGACCAACTCGAAGGATCACTCAGTGCCAAACGAATCGAATCATACTGAGTAGCTAAGCCACAAAATTGTTTACCGATTGAATTCATCGAAGCAACCCCATGCTCCGGTCTGCGCCAAGCCGGAGAATAACCTGCCCATACTTTTGTAATCGAGCCCTTCGGAGCAGTTCTGCACGATCACGTTGAACCCCAGAGCTTTCCCAAGATCCTTCACGGTCTCCGTCTTCCCCGTTCCGGCTGGTCCCTTGGGACTACCCCCACGATACAGGTGGAGTGCGGTGGTCAGCGTTATGTAACATCTACACCGTCGAAGTGGAACCAAATCAAACTCTTTGCTGTCAATTTATCCCGCCGAGAAATCGTTTGACATCACGGATCTCTGACCCGTGATCGATCAGGGTAAAGCAAGCTGATGACACAAATTAGCAAAGTTAGAAAGAAAATTCTAACTATCAGAGATATCTGTTCCTAGATGGTTCGCTATAGTCACCACTGGTGGTGGACGTTTTCGCAAAATCGAGCACGCAGCGATTCGTCGTTTAATCCGTCTGCAACGGAAGGGGCGAGCAAGGGTGGGTCGACGACGTCTAACAGGGTGGGTCGCGACGTATTGCTACGAGGAATCGTGCTCGCCGGGGGCCACGTCGCGTTCTTCTTTCCTCAAGACAAATTCTCCGGGTCGGGGAACAAATGTATCGGGATGGCCGGACTTGTCCATAAATTAGAGTGTCGCGGCTGGAAACCCTTTTATCGCGATTAAATCGATACCGCGTTAAGTATCGTCCCTGAGCCGGCGTTGCTATCCTCCAGCCAGCTATCCGTTTCCTTTGATGTTCCTCGTCGCGCAAACTGCTCTTCCCTCTCGATAGCGGCCATCATGAGAGATTGTATCGTGTCCTAACTGACGTATATTACGCGGTTCTGTACACAAAGCCGGCTTATGTTTCAGTTCTGCACGGAGGAAATTGCGGCTGGATTTTGTTCGCGTGAATTTTAAGTGCTTTCATCTGACTTGCATTGAACTGCGGTCTAATTGACACGCTATGCCTTAAAAGCTTCACGTCATGCGTCATTTACTGCCTTCATTACGGTACTTTTACATCGAGTCGATATCTCATAGCGATATCTGAAGGTTTGAAGACTTGGACTTCTGGTATTCTTCACGAGGCAAAGATTTAATATATGACAGCGACTTGGAATTCTTCGACTCGTACGAGGTAATTCGTTGATTTAGAAATCGTGGAAATCATGGAGATACTTTTCAGATTAGAGTCTTTACTGGGCCATAATTATTTTTGTTTAAATTGTACATATAAAGAAAATTTATCTTAGATTTTGAAGACAGCTGTCAATAAACGATGAAACGATCCAGGTGTAAAATGAATCTAGGAATACCGTTTTTAATGACTGGAAATTTTTTGACTCGCTTAGGGTAATTTGTTTTTGTATCACGTGCATCGTGCCCTAATCGAACGCTGACATCCGAGTTTTCCCTCATAATTGATGAAGTTACATCAAGATTCAAAGACCTCGCCTCTTCTCCTCGCCGGGGCGGCGAGAGTCTCGTTGATTAACGTTAATTACGCCTCCGGCGGTGTTCCCTGGTGAAAATTTGTCGCTGGAGCGTTTCTTCGCGTTCACGAAGTTGCCTCGCGAACTTTCGAGGATCACACTCGTCGGCTTGAGTCCAAGAACCGTTGATTAACGTTGATTACGCTTTCGTGGATATTCCGCGAGTCAAGGTAGCTCCTCCGTCCACGTTACTCTCTCTCTCTCTCTCTCTCTCTCTCTCTCTCGAGGAACATCGGAACGGTGAGAGAATTTTTCCCGAAATCCAGCTCTTCTTCATCGTCGATTAACATCCATTACATCCGCGTCATCGTCGCGTTTGATCTTGCGACTCTTCGAATCGGTCGCGGGACAAAGGACAACGGCGGTTCCAGACGATCCAGGTCCCCTAGTATGGCTGAAGTTTCAGGCAATTTGCGAGCGAATTGCAGTCAGTGTCGGGTATGCTTTGTTTCATTAGCTTTAACGAAGTTAATATCGCGAGGGCGAGGCTAACAGGGCGCGGGTTGCCACGGGATCGCGTGTAATTGTAAGCTCGCGCACCATCGGTAATCGTCACGACTCCTGACCTAATTACCCCGTATCCCGGCATCGACACGCGGCTAACAGCCCTTGGAATGGTTCACGCATTTGTAATGGGGAATCGCTTTCACACGTGACCCCGTTTCCTGTTGCCAACCGTCGTAACGAATGGCTCGTGAGCTTCTGCCTCGAGGAGGGTTGTCTTAAAGGGTTGACGTTTCGACCGACACATGTTACGCTAATGCCTGTTGTCGAATCGGGGTCGAATTTTGACGTGGGGGCGATGTATCTGTGTCTTCTTGTAGAATTATTCAAAGAAATCTTCCTGTTTATGGGAAATTTGAAGGTACCTAATTTAGAATTATTTCTAGAATTTGGTATTATTTATTAATTTGGTAATTCCTGATTACCGAAATTAGTCAGTATTTTCTTATCACTTGTAATTATTACGAGCAACATAATTATTAATATAAGAAGGTTATTTGGTATCTTCAAATTTTTTACGAGGGAAGGATTATATTGTTATACTGTATCATAATTATTATACCTACTATGACATTCCAACGATATATTTGTCTCGTAGAATTATTCGAAGGAATCCTCTTTTTATAGAAAATTTTAAGATACGAAATTTAGTATTATTTATTAATTTAGTAATTTCTGATTACCGAAATTAGTCAGTATTTTCTTATCATCTGTAATTATTACTATTACTGTAATAAGTGTAAGTGTAATAAGATTACTTAGTATTTCCAAATTTTCTACGAGGGAAAGATTATATTGTTATACTATATTATAATTATTATACCCACTATGGCGTCCCGAGGATATATTTGTCTTGTAGAATTATTCGAAGGAATCTTCCTTTTATAGAAAATTTGTAGGTACCTAATTTACAATTATTTTTATAATTTAGTATTATTTATTAATTTAGTAATTCTTGATTACCGAAATTAGTCAGTATTTTCTTATCATCCGTAATTATTACCACCAGTGTAATAAGATTACTTAGTATTTCCAAATTTTCTACGAGAGGAGGATTATACTGTTATACTTATCATAATTATTATAACGACTAACTCTAGTAATAGATAATATCTATTATAGGAATTCTTATGTCTTCGAGGTTCGGAAGGAAAGTAAAATTTGCATAACTCGATGGTTAAATTTCCATAATTCGATACCTGGTCTCCACTGGCAGATCTATTCTTATTCAAAGCACCTACCATAAAGACACTGACCCATCGGGAAGCTACATTTCCTTTAGCTATCTTGCCTCGCCTACTTCCCATTCTTTCGTCATCCACCACGCGAAACAAAATATCTTACCTGTCCGTGAGCGGAGTTATCACCAAGCGACCAGTGTTTCCGAGGTACTCGTACCCGTACACGAAGTACGTGTTCGTCTGCCAGACGATGCAGTCGTTGATGTCCTTGTCCCAATAGAACCTGAGCTGCGACAGCCACTCGAAGGCCGACACGTCCTTGCAGTCTGCGAAACGCGGTCGAAAATCGGCTTTGCAGCGAAAATGTATCGGCAAATCCCGTTTCAATCAGCGCGGCGAAACATCGAAATCAGTCGACCCCGCGTCTATTAGTTTAATTCGCGGAATCGCATTAATTGGCGACGCGTCCCTGGGCAAATCATTGACGCGCGAATTTACGCGGGCACATTGCGCAAACGTTGCACCTGTTCGCTTAGCAATATTCGCCGATAGCTCGGGGCAAATTGTTTCCACGGATGCAAGGATAATACACGCGCCGGAATCTCTCTGGCCACTCGTCTATTTTCGACACAATACGACCGGATGAATTTACGAGATCCTGAGGAACGCTCGACGGCCGATGGAAAACCGCGATGCCAGTCGTTCTAACGTCGCGACATCGCGGATATCTGGCCAAATCCCGTAAAACCAATAATTTGTTGCTCGCGGCTTGCATTTGGACCTCGTGGAGGACGAAAAGCAGAGAGAGAGAGAGAGGGTTTGGATAAGAAGGCGGACAGCAGAGGGAGGAAAAATGTTGCAAGAGTTGGTCGGATAAGCCGGCTAGATTGAAAATCGGATGGCCGCTTGGATCACTTACTCGCCCGGTACATCTTCTCGATAACGTCCCTCGCGTGGATCTCGATCACCGCGATCGCTTTGAACTTCAGTCGCTCCAGATGGCTCAGCTCGCCCCTGATCGCCTCCGAGTACTTGCTCAGGACCTGGTTCTGCCGTTTTCGTAGCTTCTTCAGCGGCCTCCTCGAGTCCACCAATCTTCGACAACACGTGGTTAGTTATTTTTCTCATTTTTCTCATTCGACGAATTGCTTCCACATTCGAAGCCTGACAGATAGATCCCTCGGTAGGTTTTCAAAATTTGCAAATAATTTAAACCGAAGGGTATTCGAAGATTCGAACATGAGGAGGAGAAATTAAAAACAATACGAATTATTTTTAACACTTTGATGACTGCCATGGTGGTCACCAGTTTCATTCTAATCAATTTTTGAATATTCAAACAACGTAAATAAATAGAGAATTTATAATAGAAGGCATTAATAATTTGCATGACTTTTTTTACCCTATTGTTTGATAATTCGTCATTATATTCTAAAAATAATATTAAATTTTGTGGTTTTGGCAGTGAAAGTGTTAACCGAATGTAAATTCATTATAACAAAAGTATCTTCAAAATTTTGACTGTACATAGTCCCAGATAAAAATGTTACTGACCCCCCAGTACACAAGGAAGACAAAATAACGTGCACCATTTTGGTCCACGTTACCACCTAACCTAAAACCATCATCGTGGATGTATTTTCGAATAATTACCCACAGCATTTCCAAGTAGCCGTTTAATTAGACAAAAAAGAAAATTCCACGTTACAAGCCAGGTCCGTACCCCCAGCCTCACCCCTATCAGCTTGCCACATTTAACCTTTCCGTTGCAGCAGCAAAGCGTGATGGAACGAATTTGTTCCCTCGCATAATCAGTCCCTTTGTCCGACACCTCTGTATCCCTTTATTTCTTTTATCAGGCTGGCACGCAGCAGCCAGTGAGAAGGTCCTGGGCCCACCCTCCGGCCACGGCACGGAGGCCGGTGCAGGGTCCCGGGACGTAGGGATTTCGCCGGGGGTTGTGGTGTGGGTTAAATTATTCGCAGTACGGCTAGTATATGCAAACGAGGGAGGAAGGGTGCGCAGCATAGTCGGTGTAGCTGTGGATCGCAGCACGGGAGCCGGAATATGCAAAATTCCCCTTATTAGAGTTACCGTGTCCCTCTATTCGCGAACCCAACCCCGTGTCTCTCACTTTCCCTCCTTGCGCGTCTTCTCTCCCTTCTTCCCTCGTTCAGCCTGTCGGCAACAGCCTTCGAGCGCGTTGGATCCGGTGTTCCCTCTGTTTCACCCCCTTCTTCGGCGTCCTCTCTGTCCAACCACACGCGGCAACCCCCACTAGCGCGAGTTCATCCTTCTGGTTACGGGCTACTGTAACCAACGTCGCTAAATTTTCCTACGGAATAGCGTGCGAGGCTCACTTGCAGTGCAGCAGGGTGCGGGTACAGTCGGTCGTCCACTGGATCTGAGTGGACGTAATTCCCGGCTGGCTGGGCCACTCTTTCACCCACCTGTCGCGTCTCGCGGCCATTTTTCGCAGCGCGCTTCGGCACTGCTTCAGCATCTCGCGCAGGCTGCATCTCATCGCCGACTCTGTGAAATCGCGATTTTTTTTCATTCACCCCGCCTATTTGTCCCCGTCGTTCTGCAGTCCGATCCACCCTCGCTCGTACACGTTACACCCTCCCTCGACGCGATGCTTTTTCGCAAATTGTGTCCCCTTTCGCGAAAAATTGTTGCCGGATGCACGCCAACAGCAACCTTTTTCCCGCCGATAGACGTAGTCGTGCACGTACGTTGGAATTTGATTTTTGAACGGGGACAACAGGCGAGGAAGTACAGAAAAGTGTCCAAGCGGAGCGTTTTTTAAAAATTCTCCATAGATTTCGCGCGTTCGTGATTGTCGTGCAATTTTACATAAGCGTGTCACACAATTCTGATAAATTGACCGCCTACTTGGCAACGTATGAAATTAAAATTGGGTTGGAAGCTTTATTTTACTAGCGTAAGTTATACGGTTAGAGGTGAAATTATTCCCTGTCCAGTGTTTTCGTCCCTGTCAAGGGGTTAATGAAGAGAATTCAGGAGCTGCTAGCCCCAGGTATTTTTTCAGGCAGAAGTTGGCCGTTGCAGCGAAACAATTACCGCAAGAAAAACATCTTACCAATCTGGCAGAGCCATTTCTCCACCTGGCCCTCCAGAATAATGGGTTCGTTAAAGTCGATGCACTCTCCCTCGATGGAATTCATCGCGGTGGCCAACAGTTTCCCCGTGACAGACTGCGCAATCATTCGGAAGGTTCAAAATTTTCGCTGCCTTCGTAGCAACCAGGACCGACTCACTTTACTTAGACTGAGAAATTTAATATTCTCGAAGAGCTTCTTGATATGCGGCTGTATCAGTTCCGGTCTTCTCGCGTTCGCCAGGATCTCTAGCAGATCGTCGTTCGAGATGAAGTAGAATCTCGGGAACACGTGTCGTTTGGTCTCCAGGTACTGTTCCAGGGCGCGCTGCATCGTCTCCAGCTTGCGATTGATGTTACCGAGAACGTTGAGCAGCCCGGCTGCGGAAGGGACGAGGACAAGAGGGAAATTAGGCGGGTTGGGCCGGAGAAAAAATGCAAATGCATCCGGTAGACCGGATTTACATTATTTTATAGCGCCCTTCGCGTCGGCACGCTGTTCTGCCTCCCTTTTTCTTTTCCTTTTTCACGTTCGAGCCAACGACGACGGCGACGCGTCGTACATTTTCCTCCTCGTTTTTCCCTGCCCTGTTTCTGCTCGGATATTACAGGAGCTGCCAGCCCCTGCTCCAATTACAATGCATTACGTGCACCTTATGTTTCGACGATTCTTGTACCTCGTCTTTCCTTCGCTTCTTATCTCCTCGCTTTTTATTTCACAGCCCTTTGAGGAATGCGAGTTTTCAGACTAACTCTAAGAAGTTTCCACCTTATCGATTCTTCTCTGCTTATACCATATTCTTATACCACGTTCTTTATTTTCTCGTTTTATTTATACTAGATTTATGGACTGAGCTAATTGAACTCGTTAAAAATTTGATTACTATATATATAAGACTTAAATATTATTTTTTAAGAACGTATGTTAGTTTTTAGTTACGTAATGAAATATATGTAAATGTTAATGACCCCTTCATTTCGCATTTTCGAATATGGTATACCTATTTTTACAGTTGGGAGCCACTTTGACTCATAAGATGATTTAACAGTTAATCGCAAAACACGCGAAATTTATAGCTTACATCAGGCTAGAGGAACTTTTGCAACCATTTATAAAAGCAAGTCTAATAAAAAAGTTTTGCTACTAAGTTCAAAACATAAATATATAATAATTGAAAAAAATAAAAAGCTTATTCCGGAAACAGTAACATTTTATAACAGCACCATGTATGCTCAAAAATATAGTATTAACGCAGGTTCTCGCAGATGGCCTCTAACAGTTTTCTATAACATGTTAGTAGATTTAGCAGCTACCAATGCTTGGATTCTGTATAAACAATCAATCAAGTAAATATTTCAAGAAATTTATTTTCCAATTGGCTGAAGAGCTGAAAAGTAAATATAGAGAAGATATCGAGAACACTCCCATTCCATTGACAAAAATTCATAGTATTGATGCATAGAAGAATTGTCAAGTTAAAGAATCATGTAATAGAAATAGATGCAAGAGCCTTTGTGTTAAATGCAATAGAAATATTTGCGGAAAATTTATTTCAAAAACAAAGTTTCTATGTAAAAACTGTTTTCAATGAATTTTTTAATATAAATTTTTCATTTCAATTGATTTGGACCTATTTTCTTCGCAAAAAGCATCAATTTTCACTTCACTTCAGTAAAAATAGGTATATAATCAACATCCATAAATCTAGTGTTAAATGTCTTATCCAAACTTTTCTCTGGTGTCGTTGTTTCGAGAGACATCATTGTATTTTTAGAGATTGGGAGAAGAAGGGAGGCGAAGGTAAAAACGTTGACTGGAAATTATGGAGAATTTTGTGGATAAACACACGTGGATTGTGGGTGGCTGGTAGCGCCAGAGCGTACGATGCCATCCGCGACGTAATTTCGGTCCACAGACTCGTCAGTTTGTCGTAGTCGTCTGTCTCCTTGGGGAGCTGTTTCCGGATGTCTTCCGTGGTGAATATGTTGTCCATGTACACGTAGCCGCGCTGAATTAACAGGGTCGTTTCGAGGACCTCCCCGATGGTCGAAAGGGTTCGTTCCCAGTAATCAACCTCGTCGGCGAATGGTTCAACGAACCTGTAACACTCGCGCATAGTATTTCGTCGGGTCCCTTAAAGTTCGTCTATTTATTAAACCTGGTGGCCTTCATGGCTGATAATTGAACTTGATGATCCTCCAAAAACTGCATTATGTCGTCGGTGGATTTTATCTTGTGTATACCTCTGTCTTTGTAAGGGATCATCTCCAATGGCATGCGTGCCCAGATTTCGCTGATATTTTTCAAACCCTGATGACACGGAACGAGATTACGAGCTGGAGGTTTTATAGTCGCGCTATGAATACACTCACAACTTCGATAGCCAACTCCATGGTAGCCGAGTTGGAGATATCGTTGATCTGCTCCGCGTAGTTTTGCAATTCCATCTCCGCGATAGCGTCTAGGGTGAATTCGTCGGATCTCTCGTCGAACTCGCGGTCCACGATCGTCTTCACTTTTTTCCAGTGTCTGGGTCTCATTGCTGGGTTCTTTAGGTCAGTGATCAACGGTAGAGTACGTCTAAACCTGTCCACTCTCCCTCTGAAAAATTCCCTTGCTTTAGTCTCCACGTCGCGACCAGTTAAACACACGCTATCGTTACAGCAAGACAGAGAGAGGTGAAGGGATTAGAAATGTAACGATCCTCGACGAAGAAAAGATTGAGACAGGAGCAAAAGAGTTCCTCTTTTGTCGTCACCTCGAGTGCTCGACGATCTCCCAGTTCTTTTCCTTCAGCTCCCTACTCAGACGGTTCAGCTTCCTAAACAGAACGTTTGCAGTGTTTTCCATCTCCTCCATCTCAATCTCCCAGAAATTCTCCGTTCTGTATCTTGCCCAGGCTTCGTTCCATTCGTTGGTGATTTCCCATACAAGGAGGATGGCCTTCGTATCCTGCAAACCGATCTCGTTACACCTATTCGAGGATAATCAGAGATCCTTACCTGTTCCAGCTGCATTAATTCGACGGAATCCTGATGCCCGATGTCAAACACCAAAAGCTGCGTCTTCAATTCGCTTTCTCTCTTTTTCAGAGATGAGATCTCCCGTTCTAAGTAGCCGATCCAGATAAACGCGTCTATCTCGTCGAAATTGAAATCGAGTTACACGTGGAATAATCGTCAGTGACATTTCATTTTTAACCACGACCGGTCACCTTTCACCTGCCAGCTAGACGTGAATGGTCCAGTGTCCCAAAATTTCCCGACCAGTGCCATCACTTCTTCTTGGAACATTATGGAATCATCGAGGAGCATCTGCTTGAACTCCTCCTGAAGGAAACGATCATGCTATCAATTCGGTGTCCACCAATATTTTTCCGAGGTACTACAGACAAATCTTTGCCTTTTTCTGCTTCAGCATGACACTAGACTTCTCCAGGAGGTCTAGATAGGCTGTCCAGGCAGGCTCCACGTCGTACAGCTTTCGCTTGAAGTCGAACGTTATGGTCACTTCGTACTTGTCTGCGTCGGGAAGCGAAACGAACGGAGAAGGGGATGGGAAAAGGAAAAACACGGAATAATTAAGCCCGGCGGGCGTTTCTCAGCCGCAGAATAGGGGGAACACCGCTGATTTCACGGACTATCGATCCTCCCTTTGGCACGAGCAAACGGAGGAATCGTTTAAAGGTTTACCCAAAGTCTGGTATTGCTCGCGGATCTTCGGGAATTCCTCCTCCTCCTGAGGAATATCGTTGGTGAGTTTCTCGAACAACTGCATCGCGTATTGCATGCTGATCAGATCCGTCGGCTCTTTCGTTATTCTGCAAACGAATGAATTTACGATTGCGACTGGTCGCGGAATTCCGCGGAAAGCCACGGGAGAATTTATTCCAGTTATTTAAGGAGCACGCCATCGAATTGTCGATTTGCGGAATTTTTCGTAAACCCATTGGATATATCGAATACTGTGACGAGTATTCGAAAGAAAATTCACTTTTTCGAATTCAATTTTGGATAAAGGACACTCGGAATTCTTGGTGGTGTCCCACCCACAGGAGTCGTTATATAGTCCTTTGTGGTTCCTACGGATCTGCGAGTTTCGTATCCTAATGTCCGCCATGCTATGATATATAGTAGTTAAAGGGATCCATTTTGCCATGGGCCTGCAAGTGGACTCGTCACAGTAAGGCTTTATAGCAGGCTCCGTCTTAAACGAGGGATACTTAGGTAGCATAGGTATTTGTATACATAGGAATCTGGGATTCACCGAGTACCTGCGAGAAACCTCGAACCTTCGTTTGCCATCTAGCGGCGAGAGTGTGAACATTGTTCTCTATAAGACTATAAATCGAAAATTTCGTAAAATGGCGGAGCCAAATGTTGATATCCATCGATCTTTTTTAAACCTCGATGACGTGTTCCTCATTTCTTCAATTTCTTCTCTTTTTTAATACTAACTTCTTCGAATTCTCTGCGATATAGTGGTACACGTGGTTCACCATGTTCTGCGTCTGACGGAACAGAACGCCGATCAATTTCTGCTGCCAAATCGAGCACTGCTCGATGATAGCGCCCTTCAGTCGATCTGCATTCACGTCCAGGAAGTGCACAGTCATCACCGTCTCCTGCATTTGGACGTTATTCGCGATGATCGTGTACCTGCTGATGTCCGAGTCGAACGTGTCCGCGGTTGGCTTCAGCTTCTCGTACCTGATCGTGGGTTATCGTGCAATGTTCAGCATTGTTAACGACGCGGTCGGATATTAATATTCGTAAGTACCTCTGGAGATACATCTCCCTGTTCATCTCCCATATTTCTTGAAACGGTTCCCAAGTCTTCAGGTAGTTCTGTACTTGGACGAAGCAGAAATTCACCTCTGAAAATTCGCGACTGTTAAATGACTTACTGGAAATGTAGCGGAAGGATACAGAACATAGAAAAAAATACCGTCGTTCAGCTTTTGTTGAAGATCGAGCAGCTCCGTTTCTTTCTCGTACATTTTCCAAAATGGCGGCACCGGAACATCAAATTTGAATTTGTCTATCAGCCGGGTCACCTTCTTTAACGGGACCAGGAGATTGTCGAAGATCACCGAGATTTCCATCGCGATATCTGATAGATTCGGCACGAATTTTATCTGCAAGATTCGCGATTCCTTCGATTTACCAAAGGAATACCTAAAATTCTCGATTCTAGATCTTCTTTAATTCCTATTTATATTCTTCCATAATATATAGACAAATGGAAAACGAAGCATTCGTGGCAGAGCGTGAAACAGAATCTTTTTTAAACGTAAAATGATCGGTGAACGATAAAGAAGTAGAAGCCTAAGAAAAATGGAGTAACGAGAGACATGAGAAAAATGATTATATACTGACGTACGTATATTGGATGAAAAATTGTGAAGATTAGTGATTAAAAAGAAAACACCGAATTTTTAATGTCAGCTTTAAAAAGGTTCAGTGCTAAAAGAAATACTGTACCTTGTTATCTATAAGTTCCACGTGGACCAAAATGAGCGGCGATGGCGGCGTGGTGCCATCGCCATGAAGAGCAACGTACATGGCCTCCAGGGACTCTATCAGACACATCTTGAAAGCCTCGCCTATCACCAAGTCCATTCTGCTCAGGAAAATCTTCCACTGGTCTAGACACTGGTATCGATTATTATTTTTACAAGCCACGCACGTTAACCCCAATTATTATTACAGGTAGCCATTTATCAACTCATATCTAATTACATGTCCACGAAATACCGTGATTATTTATTATAATTATAATTACTCGACAATATATACCAAATTGTATATTCAGGGAATATTAATCGGTATCTAATTATATTTCCACGGAACACGAAATTCCTTCGTACCCTATAAAACGTCATACACATCCGGATTAACGGGTACGCGTGTTCCCCGCGGCAGTCGCGTCACGCAGCGACATATCGTAACGCGAATCGGTCTGGGCCCCGTTTCCGGTGCGGAGTGGCGCAAAAATTGCACGGTACAGCCTGCAGGGATAACGCGGGGTGGTTTCATGGGGATTTTACTCCGTGAATGGCCGCGTTTGTTGCCGATGTAGCGGGAAACGAGCGGTTCCGCGTGAAAGAATGAAATCGTCGAGTCGGAACGACGTCGGGTCTCGTTTTTATTTCCACGCGTTTAAGAATCCTTCCCCCTACGTGAGTCGCCTGAGATATTTTAATAAAATGTTTCTCCTGAAAATCATTGCTCCCAGTGGACGTGGGCGCTCGGTCGTGGAAACACGCGCGGGAATGTTGAACATTCCGGAGAACAGAATGCCTAGGGACTTTTCACGTCGCCCTAAAAGCGTGCAATTTACGCGAGCATTCTTCTTCCACGAGCTGTCGTATCGTGATCGATCCCTAACTATCGTGTCTCGCCGTGCTAACATATAGAAGCATCGAAAATACCATCGAGCAGGTAAAAACTATCTACTGTACGATCTGTTGGGAACTCACGTCCTCCAGAACTTCCTTGAACCCATCGCAGATGACCAGCACGTACTGGACGATGGTCCAGTGGTACTCGCGTAGAATTTCGAAGGTCTCGTCTCTGAAACAGCGCGAGAACACGTTTCACACGCTTCGCAAACCGATCCCTGACCATCGGTCATACCTGACCTTCAGCAGGTCCTGCTGCAGCTCCTCCAACGTGTACGTGTAGTTGGGCTTGATCTTGATCATCGGCGTGTTGCAGATCCTCTCGTTCAGCTTTATGATCTGCTGATTCGACTCCCTGTAGATGTCGATGAACTCCTGGAGCTGTCCCGAACGGAATGAAACGGTTAACAGCTCGTAGGGAATTTGCAAGAACGGGGAAAGGACACGACGACGGGGTCCGGTTTTGTCCTTCGGGCAGGGTGCGAATTCCGTCGATTTGAACAGGGTAACGAATGGCCGCAAACGCGGCCCGGATATCCGCTATTGTTATTCCGTTTCGCCGGCACGCGCACTTCTTGCTTAATTAAACAAACAAAGGCTGCGGACGGATCCCACTTGGCTGGGTCAAAATTTAATTTCCCTAGGACAGAGCCGGACCCGCTGCATAAATTTCGGAACCGCATATAGGCGCCGCCTCGCCATTCTGCTAGCTAATGTCAGACAAAGAGGACGACAGGCTGGGAACCGGGTGCAGAAACGAGAGAGGGAGGGAGAGAACGAAGCGTACATTTGCCGTTTGGTTAAAGCAATCCTCGATGTATGCGTCCACGTATTCCGTGTTCCATGTCAGCCTGTTTAAGCCGGGATTGATCTTCCTGTCTAGCCGGCGAATTAGTTCGCGGAACAGCTCGCGCTCCGTCATCGACAACGCTGAAAAACACAATGTATGTATCATATACACGTACACACACGTACAGATGTTCACCATGCGTGTGCGCGCTACCCCCGGACACGGTTTAACGCGGCAGAAACGCGATTATCCGAATCCGCCCCAATTCCACGTGCACTCACTCGATCGTTCGATTACCCGTTCCGATGGATCATTTAAAAATTCTCGTTTTCACACCGGGATGGGATTTTTATTCGAAGCGATTTTTTAAATAATGCCCCAGTATAGCGAGCAATAGCTACGGCACTGGACCCGGCACGCCTGACAACGAGCAATCCGCTTTCCCTTCCGTGTTATACCCTATTCTCTCATATACACTGGTTGTAGATCGATGAAAATATCCCTACTTTTTCTCTTGTAAATTGGGTCGTGAACCGGATAATCGACGATTTCAGGGAAGAAATTAATTCGCCGGGAAAAACAGATTTTCCAGAGGATTTTCGAGAGGATCGAGGTAAAACGATTTCGAGTAACCAGAATAATTTCACGTGTTCTCGTTCGGAAACTTTTCTCCAATCTCGACATTTTACAATTCCGATAGACACTCCGTGATCGATAATAGCACGCGGCGGTGTGTTAAAAATGAGACCATGTATTTCCGCTGGAAATGCATTTCGCCAACTATTTTCTAATTTCGTGGCCTCGATATGCAAACGGAGAGTTTACGCGAGCCACGAACGTTTCCAAATTTCGAAATATTTGTCGGAATTCGTTGAAACATGTGCCCGGAAGTTGCCCAGATTTGGACGAATGACAAAGAGATCCAGAGAAGTAAATGGTCCTCGAAATAATCGTATTTATCTTTGATTTTTCTTTTCACGATTCATCTAAATAAGTTTTGGAATTATTCTGAGATTCCTCGATCTAGCGTCGATCGATATGGATCTCTTCGAGGTGCGCGAAGGACCAATCGGAAGTTGCCACGCGCCATTAATTGTTACTTCGCAACTGGACGTATTCGTCGAATTCAATGCGACAGAAAACGTTCGTTTAATGGAATTTGCCTGGAGGGAAGGCCGGATTAGCGAGTTTGGAAGAAGCAATTTTCGGGAACCTCGATCGAGATGGTTGATCCCGAAGATAGAAAACGGAAATTAAGAAATTAAAGTACGGAGGGTTGCAACGATGTTCTATACATTATGACGTTCAATGGCACTCCAAGAAGTGGAACTTCGTTAATTATTAATCGTTAATAGGAAACTCGATGTCATCAAGCTGAAGTGCCAAACACCGGCAAGTTCTCAACTCGATTCACACTTTGTTGGTTAACTTTAATTTATCAGATCAAATATTCACTTTGATTTTACCTTAAAATCACTCTTTAAATTTGTGTACATCGAAGTATGTTGTCCTGTTGACACTGTTGCAACTACCGGACCAATCAAAATGACTAATTTCAGGTAATTTATGTTTATTGCTGATAAATTGATACTGATTTTTACTCGGATGGAAATGTGATCATACTTATACTTGCAATGAAATTTATGAGACATTATTCTCACAAAAATATTTCATCTGTATCTTTTTTACTGGTCATCGTTCGTGTCGAAGGGGTGGAAACAGCCCCCAAAGTTAGAGAACGTAAAGGAATTGCAGCAATAGCAAATTTGTTGAGAAAAATTAATATTTTCAAATAATATATTAAAAGTTCGAATTGTTTTACTCGTTTGTCATACTAAATCTTACGATTAACTATACACTACTATATACTACTTAGGTACAGTACAGGTAATCTTCGCATAACACGGTTCTTATAAAATGGGATTCATAAATTGTAATTCATAAATCCCTAAACAACAAGGAGGGTATGTACTCAAAGATCCATAAATTATCAATCTTATGCAATTTTTCACTTCGTGATGCACATTTTGATACTTGCATCTGATCAAAATATTGTACATAAACATACATATCTTCCTAAATAAATAATCTATTATAGCTAATTATATGTAAGTAATCTATTTATCTAGGTATCTTGACAAAATTATTTTTAGACCTCCATCCTTCTTTGTACATAATTTTTAACACGACTCTTCTAAAGATCCTAACATTATACAAGGATCACCTGTAATTCTAGGACCAAAAGTCCCAGTCATATGAAAAGCTAACTAACCCTTGATCGCTTTGTTGTAACCAATGATGACAGCGAGGACGCTCTCGAAGACAAAGTGAAGCGTCTCCCATTTATCATAAACGACCTGCATGTGGACAGGTATAGTGTGCTTGAGTGCGATCCAGTAGGCAGTTTCGCGGCACAAGCTCAAAATGGAGGGGTCGATGTTGCAGGTGAGGAGGCCCTCGTCCGAGTCGCTGCGTCGCATGAGGAAACGATCCAGCTTGACACGGGGATTGTCACCGATCTCGTGTACCCATTTGCCGTGTATATCGATGACGAAATCCTCGATCGATTTTTTCAGCAGATCATGCTGGTGATAGATCTCGTCGCTGAGGGCGCAATAGGGCATCCACACGGCCATCTCGAGCATCTCTCTTGTTGATTGCAGACGGGCACCTTTCAGCTTCAGATTCAATGCTCTGCCAGCATAATACGGAGTCATCGAAGGATACTCCTCCATTTCGTCCAATACCTCCTGCTTCGTTCGTTGAATATCATCGCTGAACAGCTTCCATATCTGCGGAGAAATCGAAACGCGTATTTTGTCTTTCCCCTGGATTTTTGCTGCGAACGGGATTTCATCCGCGACAAGAAATTTATCTGCGAGGATATCGAGATTTTCTGGCATTGGTTTCGATAAAGGAACATAGCAGACGCGATACAGAGACGTTCGGCGAATTTTTGATTTCGTCAGTCGATGATTCGCTTTGTTGTACCTCGGCTGTTTTGGCATCGAACAGAGATACCAGTTTGTCGCGATTCATGTAAGTGAAGAAGCCCTGAAGATCCTCTATTCCTTCCTGCACGTTGTTCATATGCAAGAAAACCGACGCTGCCAGGTTCTCGATGATCACCTCCAGGTCTTTCATTTCGGCACGGAAGGTGAACATGTAGTCGTGCCACGTGGTGTGATGAACGTCCAGGATCTTGTGAGTATTCTGCTCGATCTTCTGCAGAGCTTCGTGGAACAGCCTTTCGATCTTTTGACACACCCTCTCCCGTTCCTCCCCTTTTGTACCGCCGAACATCGGCTTTATCATCTCCGTCGTTTCGTCCATTCTGCACACAGAGTATTATAATTATTCCTAGATCCACGATCCCGAAATTTTACCGGAGAAATCTTTATCCTAGAAATCTTAATTAGTAAATTTTCTCACCAGGTATCGAGTATCGAAAAATAATTTTCAATCGCTTTACAGTCGACCAAAAATTTATTACTAGACGAGATATTCCAAATTAATATATTGTCAAATTTATTTTCTATTTGATTCAAAGTTTATGTATCGAACGAGGTGCCAATTCGTTTGCAAAGTTTGGCAAAATAAGTACAGTCTAATTTCAGTCTCAGCAACATGGCGTCTTCGATTGTCAATGGAATCGTTGGTCGACAAGCGTGAAGAGAGGCAGACTGATTACCTGGCGAAATCGATCATCGCCTGACAGATCTCAATCATATCCTGGCACCTGCCGATGAAAATATCGATGTGCTGGAATATATTGTCCTTGTTTAATTCCCAGGGTACATTCGTTAAATTATTGTGGGCTTGCGCTATCTGAAACATAAATATTCCAAGCCTTGCTTAACACGTTAAACGCCACACTGGTCCTCAGGGACCGGCCCAGACTAGGACCAAAAGGTGCTAACTTTTGGTGTTATATTTTTTGTCATCTTTGGATCCAACGTTTGGGAATTCCTGTTATAACAATTGGTACAGTATCTCTGAGTTTTATAAACACTTGGCCCGACGTGGCCCACTTGATGGTCGAGTCTGGGCCTGAACGAATCGGCAAGCAAAACGGGCTGGGCACTTAACGTGTTAATACGTTAAATGCCACACCAATCCTCAGGGACCGATGCTAGACTTTCTGTTCAGGCCCCACCGGTCCATACGGCCTGGAAGGGCCCGCATGATGGCTATGGCGTGAACGGAACGTTAAAATACCTTCCTCCCCGAGTTCACGCAATCAACCCTCCTGAAACGCGGTTAATTCGTTCCATGTTGGGTCCAACTTGCTTTAGAGAAAATTTTATAGACGAAAATCAGAGAAATGCGTTCAGTGCTGTATGGAAACCGTGGTTTAAGAGGGTCGAGTACACAAAGCACGGACGAAACGATCGTTCAATGTCCAGTGAATCGCGAACAATGGATGGATTCGTAAAACGCGAGTTTAAGCGGATAAATAAGGTCCGTTACACCCCGTTACACCCCCGTGTATCCCCTGCTCCCTTTTATTCCGTATTATCGGCTGCCCTGCCAGTGGAAAGTTCGTCGCCACTCCCACGCGATGGTGTACACACTCGTGGCGATTTGTTAATGGCAAATGAACAGGAAACGCGTTATAATCCGAGCCTGGTGTCCTGTTTTTACGATTTTGGCTGATCGACGTCGCGTTAACGGAGGTTTCTTGGTTCGAAGGGTACCACATTGACCATGGACCTCGTTAAATAAAATCGTATCGCTTTGTTCCAGGCCGCACGTGAATTCTTCATTGTCAAACATCGCTCTTGGGTCGCCATCGGCATACTCGGCCACACGATTCAATTTCAAAGCTTTCGAGTACGCGATATCGTTACGTCATTTCGTATTTTGTCAATAAACAGAATGGTTTTCCTTCGTTCGGCATTTTTCCCCCCTATTTTTCTATTTTTCATCCCGACGATCAATCATTGGCTCGCGATTCATTTTCGAAAGGGACGCACTCGATCGTTTTTTCGAGGGCTCCATAAACAATCGGGATATCGAAAATGCAATATTATTCCCCTTGCTTGACGAGCAGTGCTGTCGTGCTGGTTTCTCGTCCCGGAGCCCATATTTCCCAGCAAATTTGCCCGTGATTGCTTTTGCAAAGAGACAGCGTGACTCGTTTAAGGGTTGCGCGAAAAAATTGGAACCTCGCGGATCGAATACATCTCGTAAAGATGGCGAAGGTTGCGCGGAAGATCGGAAATTATTCCTTTTATTATGTTAAATATCGATCAGACTTTTACGCAGTTCATATCGATATCAATTAGATTACAACTAGACTAGAACAATTAACTTGTAATATGTGTCTAAACATAATCTAACAGTAATCGAGGTAGTCAAACAATTAATATCAATTTTGGAGAAAATTTAAAGCAACCGCACATTTTCCTTAATTAAAAATACAGAAAATTCAAACTATCCAAGAAATAGGATTGATTTTATCATATCTAATTATATATATTATATTATTCTATAGAAAAATAATTACATCTATTTATCTTCATCACACCATTAAAATTATTATTATTCAGTTAAAAATTCAATTAAAAATACAGAAAATTCAAACTATTCAAGAAATAGGATTGATTTTATCATATCTAATTATATATATTATATTATTCTATAGAAAAATAATTACACCTATTTATCTTCATCATACCACTAAAATTATTATTATTATTCAGTTAAAAATTCAATTAAAAATACAGAAAATTCGAACTACTCAAGAAATAGGATTGATTTTATCATATCGAATTATATATATTATATTATTCTATAGAAAAATAATTACACCTATTTATCTTCATCATACCACTAAAATTATTATTATTATTCAGTTACTTATTGCAGGTTGGAAGATCTAGCTAGTTAAATTCACGTGTAATCTTCAACCTAAGTTCACCCTGACGGAAAATAAAAAGCGGAGCACGCCTGCCAGCTTCAATTCGTCCCTGCATATATAATCGCCCCCTCCACCCCCGACCTCGTCCCGTCATCCAGTTTAGAGGGAAAATTAATTGAAGATCCGCCGGAACAAACAAAATATTCAGGCAATTAATTATCGTCGACCGTCACATCCCACGAGTGGCGAAGGCCAACGGGGGTTGATACCCCGCGCTGGATGACCTAAGGTTAATAAATACGCGTTACGAGGAAACAGGAAAACCCTCTACAATCCCTCCGGGGGACTTTCTTTGACCCTCGATCAGTGGTCCGTAATTCGATTATCGGGATTCTCGGTGGAAAAATCGGAAAAGTCACGTAATTCCGCTCGTTCGACCACCATTTCTGCACCCCCGTCCAGCGGCCGCGACCACGATACGAGACGTGGCCCATGGCAATTCTCATCCCTGTCGGCGCTTATCTAACCACACGGGAAACGCCTAAGTCCGGGTTACTGTGACTTCCGTTTAACGCGAAAACTTGACCCGGTTTCATGGCCAACCCTCCTCTCGACCACAACCCTCCCCTGTTACAGGGGATAAAACTCTAATCCCACGACTGACAAATTATTTTCGAATCTGTGTCTCTCTATGGTCAAGGGATTGTTTAATGGTCGCTCGGAACGAGTCACTTGATCCTTTCGATTCCTCTAACCTCAATTTATTTTAGATTTTTAATTTAAAAAAATATCTACAAAAATAACTCTCGCGGTATTTCCTTATTTTTCTTCTCTCCGGTAGATTTATCGTAGATACTCTATTTTCTTTATATATTTCAACCCAACTGATGTTCCCTTTCGCAATAATATAATATAACTGAAACAATTAAAATGGTATAATAAAAATTATTATTAGTAAAAATTTGATAATAATATAAAATATAAAATATGAGGTATTTGATCGAGAATAGCCAGATATTTTGAGTAATTACGAAGATAAAAAGACTGAATTACCTTATGTTTTCGATACTAGATTATATTAGGTAGCATAATAATTGTCACGCCTCCCTAATAGCATGACGATACTGATCTCGATAATGTCGAAACTGTCAGAGATTAAATCAAGCTAGGGAAGCTATCCAGCACCCATTTGCGAGACCACAATGCTCGCGTGTTGTTTTACCAGGATTCGCGACGATTAAAGGAAGATAAGATTAATTGCAGGCCCGGCTCGAGTACCCGCCGAGGCGAATATTATTTTAACAGGGGGTGGGAGCGTGTTCCCGCGTTCACGGGGATCATTGTGAACCGGCCAAAGGGAGGGTACAATTACCGTGACTTCCGCTTAACGCGGGAACTCCTCACTTTGCCTAACGGCTCTTTCCTAAGTATCCAAAGTCACTCTGCACACGTCGTTTAATAGCGGCTTAATGCACCGACCGGCGAGTGAATTTGTACGCGATAACAGCGAGAATATTCCGCGTTGCAAAGTATAGAGCCGAGGAAACAAAGGGGAAAGAAGCTATCGATTAAGGAAGCTAAAGATTACCCTGTCGTACAAAGACTTGTAACTCTCGCAGGCTCTTATCGACTCCTCGAACTTGTCCATGTACGTCCTCGTCTTGCCGGCGAACAGCTCTTTGAAATCGATGTAGTTTCGGCACAGGATGATGATCTGATTGCTCAGAGCCTTGAACAGGTTCTCGATCCTCTCCTCGCTGCCGTAGTACGGTGCGTTCAGCCAAATGGTCCTGAACAGGTGCACGATCAGCATCAGGTGCTCCTCGATGTTCGACGGGCGATCACATTTGTCCAATTCCGCGGAGGGATCCATCAGGACTCGCAGGAACTCGATGTTGGACCTGGCTTCCTTCACGCCGTCCTCGATCTCGTCCTTCAACGTCAAGAACTGACGGATGTAAGTCGACTGACTCGCCGTCAAGAACTCCGTTATGTTCTTCACCGTGCGACTTTGGATTTGCAAATTTAGGCCGCTCAGATTGTCGTCTGTCAAGGAAAAAATTTTCTTTTTCTGACAGTGACAGAATTTAGGAAAGACGACTAGGAGTTGGGCATTTGGAGAATTTGGAATTTTCATTTATTCGGATTAGGAACACCGTTTTGTTCTTCACCGTGCGATTTTGGATTTGGAAATTTAGGCCACTCAGATTATCGTCTGTCATGGAAAGAATTTTCTTTTTCTGACTGACAGAATTTAGGAAAGACTATTAGGAGTTGGGCATTTGGGACAGGGAATTTTCATTTATTCGGATTCACATTCGCGTAATTGAGTTAGCAAAATTGCATTTCGAGCATTTAAATCTACCAAGGTATAAATTGCGATTTAAATTTATCGATTTGCCGGGGAACTTTAAAGTGAAAAGTGAAATTACTAACGGCGATAAACCCAAAAGTCGTATTCATCTTTGAGACACAGCAATTCGTTGGGTGTTGCTTGCTCCTGGTCCGAGAGTGCCACTCTGATTTGTGTGGTCCAATAGGCTACCACACCCTCTAGCCTCTTGACCAACTCCTTATCGGCGATGGCCTCCTCGCTGCTCAGGTCGGTACCCTCCTGGGGTACATATATCACCGTTAAGCCCCGCATTTTGTACGTAAGGTCTGTTAGCTTGCACAGGAAGGTGTCCATGCACGTGTAAAAGTCCGCCTTCACGCATGTGTCCCAGGTTAAGGAAGACGTATCAACTGCGACTCCTCTCTTATCTATACTCTCATACTTGCCCACGAATTTTCCCCTGTTTTCGCGTACACTTTCAAAAAAGGATACACCCATATGACAATCCGTCGACTATTCCATTTAACTAATTTTTATCAACCGTTTTATTGCAAAGCACTCGGTATAAGCAAACAATTCCACGTTTGATAATTTAATTTATAAAGACTCAGCTATCGATTTTCCAAACCCAATAAAGCGTACGAAATATCAAAAATTTAATCCTTAATTAATAGGTCGGTATAAAAATAGGTGAGCAGTGTCAATTTTCGTATGCAGGGGGCTGACACGTTGCTAGTAAAATTAATAAAATCCCATTTTAAAGTGCAATTTCAAGGAGGGAAGAAATATCGGTGAAAACCGATTGGATCGCGAGAATTGCGAAAAATGGCGAGGGGCGCTGGCAGCGCCACCTACTCGGAGGGAAAGAGTGGAAAGAGTCTGGTTCATTTACGCGAAGTTTCGTTCAAAGCAGTGCTCACAATTAGAGGAGGACGCCTGTTCGATCCAGTTAGAATCGCGGATCCATTAGAAATAACGAGGCGACTTCCGGCCAAACGCAACGCAATCGTTTCTGACTCGACTGGACCTCGAAATCCGCCGTTCGTGGCCTCTCGTACATGTGCAAACATCGACGTCGAATTTACCGGCGGCGAGTTGCGCAGTGCATTTAGCCGAAAATTATGGTAATAATAACTTCGTACAACCCTTCCTGTTTCGCCATCCCCCTTCGCCCGGCCCTCTCACGCCCTTTCTCTCTCTCTCCGACTCTCTGTTGGCCGACACGGGGCCGGAAGTTCGCTGCGGTAACCGGGATTGCGAGGCCGAAGTTACAAATTCGCTCGGTAACGTCGTCACGTCAGATTGTTGCGAGCTTAAGCTGAAGAGGCTGCGAGAATTTGCACCGATCGTTCTTTGTTTTCGCTCTTTCATTATTAATACCTGCCCCGTCAGTTTCGATAAAGCCGCGGCGCGATACTGGCTGCATGCCGACTTCGTTAATTCCCGAATTCGTAATTCCCGCAAGCGAATGGAAATCCTCGTCCGTGGTTAGCAAATTACGAGAAATTCGTGTCCGAAGTACCGGATGAAATTTTAACGAATAATGAGCTAAATTTTGGAAATTCGGGTTCCGTTCTGCGTCATTGGCTCGTCATCGCTGGGGGAAATTACGAGGAAGAAATTGCGAATGTATATTTAGAAAGCATAGGAGAGATATTCTTTTAACGAATCTCTTCGAGAGAGAGGTGTAAATTTTACAGACACGAAATTCAGGGAGCCCCGTTGACGGCCCTGGCGACGCGAGATATTCACCCCCGAATATTCCGGGGTAGCTCGTCGGTAGCCAATTAAACTTAGCAGCTGGCGGTTTGCGCGGCCAGATTGTTTAGCAGAGGGTGAAAAAAAGGAGAGGGTCCCGAAGGGGACAGGAAAGTTTCGTGGTTCAGCTCGTTGAAGTATCGTTACGCTGTGCTCACCGGAAAACTTTCCCCGACTAATTAAACACGAGTTAAGCCAGGCTGGGGAAGAGGATACTGTCTGGCCAGGTTTCGATCTTGAGAAAGATCGGCGCCAGCACGTTCTGAACCATCGACAGCACGTGGCTCTCCACTTCATCGTTCATCGTGCCGAACAACACGCGATCCTTGAACGTGTCCGCACGCAGGATCTCCTGCGGCTCCCTCACGAAGTAGGTGATCTCGGTGACAGGGACTAGGGGGAATGACAGGGAAACGGAGAGCTTGTTGTACAAATAGTAGACGGTGAGTACTGTCACGGATGGATTCAGGAAGAAGTCTCGAATGGTCATCTCGGAATAGTAAGTCCAGTCGCTGACCATTATGCCGCTCAAGGTTGTCATGTCCTTCACGCAGTTCACCTGGAACAAGAGATCTCTGTCATTCGATTTCTTAAATTATCATTAACGTTCAAATTACAGTGTTCAGTCAAACACTTCCCAATTCCTCTTTACTCTTGGTTCTACACCAGATTTGAAGAATAAACATACAATCTTTGGTAAATTTACTGGAGGAACTATATGTAACATGCTTAAACTTGAAGAAGCACTTGTAGATGAGGTAAA